TAACCGTCCGAATGGGAGAGTGTTTTATGTCGTGAGTATGTCGGTGGTTGAATCGTCGTTTCCGATCATAGGTAAGTCGGTGAATGAGCGGTTGAGTCGTGGGTTTTGTCGGTGGAATAAACGGTTACAATCAACAGCGGGCTTAGATGCGGAAGGTTGAAGCATGTGAGAACCAAAAGCAGAAGTGCATACAACGTGCAAACCACCGAAGCACGTGTTGACACGGATGCGAAATTGGAAGCGAGCAAAACACATGCAAACCGCGTGCGAAGGGCAAAAGAGATGATGCGTGTGCGAACCACATTTGCGGCTGCCATTTGTGTGTGAATCGTGGAATTGAGCCGCTTGAAGAGCTCGTTTTCAGTGGCAAGTCGGGCTCTAGCTTGCCTTTTGAGCTTGACTAGAGTTCGAGCTCAGGATTTGGGTTGTGAGTCGAGCTCGAGCCAGGCCTGGCTCGAGCTCTACTTAATTCGGTTGCACCCCTACTTGAGATAAAAAAAATATAAAAATAAACAACATTTTTGAAAAGTTTATATTTATAATTTATAATTTTAGTTCTTTTTGTTAATTGTTTTTTAAAGAATAAGGTCATTACAGTCAGAACAAGATCACCTAGCTCATTACCCGGGTCCCGAACCGATTCACGAGTTGCTCAGTTACATCCCTGCTGAGACCTCTGCGGCAGTGTTCGCCGTAGAGGCGTTAAGCGATACGGAGAGAGAGAGAGAGAGAGAGAGAGACAGAGGCAGACGGCGCGAGTTAACGAGCGAGGTCGGAAAAGATTGAGCTCAGGAAATGACGAAGGGGAGGCGATCGCCAAAGACAGGGGAGATCGAAGCTCGAACTATTAGGTACCTCCCCCCATTTTGTATTGGTTTTTCTACTCTGTTTGTGATGGTTAGTTGGGCACTGCTAGTCGAATCTCCTGTGAGGAAGTTGGTGGAGAATGGACTCCTCATGGAATTATCATGATGTTTCTTAATGAGCCTTGAAAACCCTAGACTAGAAACAAAATTATAATTTCCGAGTAATTAGTTGAATCGAATATATTTAGATTTCGGCATCCATTAGATCTTGTTATCTATTTTTTTCCTTTGATCAATTTTACTGAAATTGGTATAAGTTAGATCATCTCCAGCTGAACGCCTTACAGTCGTTTGCTCTATCCGATCGCCAAAACACCCGCCATTCACGTTAGGGTGAACAGCGTTTGCACTGTTCACAAGCTTTTTTAAAAAAAAATCCGAAAATTAGGCTATTAATTTTAGTTTTAAGTATGAGAAAGAATATATCATGAATATTCTTTTTTTTGTGTTAGAAAATGAAATTATGTTGGAGACGAGTTACTGTATTTTGGAGTAAAAATTGAGTTTTTTGGTTGGAGATGACCTTAGATTCCTCCAAATGTATGGATTTAGCCAAATTGGAATTTAAATTGAATTACATTATGCATATGTGCTCTTGCATCCGGGATGGATTAATTATGGTTGATTTTTGAGATCAATTACAACAAATTATTGTGAGTAGATGTTTTCCTAATTCACTCCCAAATTTGTCGTTTTGGTATAATTAGCTTAGTTGATGAAAAGTCACAAAATATTGAAGAATTTGGATTTTTTCCATGCTTAGAGATGAGTTTCTAAATTTGAGAATATTTAATAAAATTTGGAAAATTTTTAAGAATTAATTAATAATAATAAAATATTAATTGAGTAGTTTGTTATTAGTTATTGTTTTTCTTGTTGTTGGGATTAGTTCTTAAGTTTAATTGTGTTTGCTGTTTAGTGGCCTTAAATAGGAGCAGAGAGTCTTTGGAGTTGTGGGAGCCATGAAGGCTAAGTTTCGAGCATGTCTCTTTTGTTGATGGGTGGCATAATCATTTTATAACAATTATTTCCTTGAATCCTAATGTATGCTTTTAATATTATTTATTACCTAATTTGGAGCATTGTCTCACTATTAGTTTTTGATGGCATTGGGAGTTTTTAATTTGTTTCATTGAACTATTATGATTTAAATTTGATATCCATGCTATATGTTGAATTTTTATAATTTGCATACTCTCAAATTAACATATGAATTACTCAAAATCATATTATTAACTTTAACATTGTGGCATGTTGAATTCTTGAAATAATGTTGATTGTGTCAAAACTTTACTCTTAGTATATGTTTGTATCTATTGCCTTGCAACATAGGTGGAGGGTGTGTTGTTCAGTGATATGATATGACGTGATGTAGTTTCTAGCAGGGCGATGTTTTCTTTTAAGCTCGAGTTTGACCGATTCCTTTTATTTTGTGGTGTAGGGATCAATGTGTCGCATAAGGGTCTTCAAACTTTTTCCCTGTAGTGCAATTGGGTATATCCAATAAGCTGACTCTCTACATGTAACTATTTGAACTTATGAACATGATACACATGAATATTTGACTTTTTGTCTAGGAGGACCATTGCTCAGACATTTTGTTATTGATTCATACTATTCTGTCATTAAATTATGTAATTCTATTTTAACTCAATTCATTTGAGTGATTTGGATATACTTGATTTTAGACTTATAATGTCCATAGTTGTTTCTGATGTATCTTTTCTCTAAGTCCATTTTGATATTTGTGACTCCTTTGTAATCATTGATACATTTATTTCATGAATATTATTATTTTCTTTATATCGGAAGGCATGTGCCATTTATGACTAAGCCGCCTATTGAGTGAAAAAGTCACCCGTATGCATGTTTATACTTTCAAACTTGGTCTGCTTATACAGGCTCTAAAGAGTAGGAAGTGCAGTAAGTGATTGTTAAGCAAGCCAAATAAGAAAAGTGAGACCTTACATTATATTTCTTATTTTGAAATGTTGTAGTTATTTGGCTTGAGTTGTGTGAAGCTTTTTTAATGTCAATGCACTTATGTAGCTTAGAGCCTTTTGAGATGAATGTTTTACTAATTAAACATTTATTTATATTTTTGGTGGATAAGCGACATGGATGTAATTAGATTTAACTTCTTTGAAATGCCATGATGTTATATTATAGATTATTATAATGGTATAGTATGGTTTGGTACTTGGTTGTTTGAATTTGTGATTGATGGTTATAAATTGTCATATATCATGTATATGTGATTTTGGATGAGTGTGCAATTGAAAAATTTACCTGATGTAGGTATTATGTTGTTGAAAATTTCTATTATAACTTGGTAATACCTGATAGAATGGTATGCTGACTTTCGATCAGCTAGGTTTTGGTGTAGCTAGCATCTTTGTTATGTATAGACTTTCTTTGTTATCCATACTTAAGGTTATTTGTAGAGGTAGTCTTCTTATTTTTTATGCTTGGAGTTATTTTATCAATTTTCAATTGTTGTCCTTAAAAACTTTGAAAATATCTCGTTGATTAAAAAAGTTTGGCATGAGATTTATATTTTTGTATTACTTCAGAAATTATTTATTGAATGATTGTTATGCTAGACTGTGGAGTGGTTTTGATGGATATTTGAGAGTTAATACTCCTTGGAAATGCAAGTCTTGTGCGTTGAGACAAGAGAATTAGCAAGATTGTTGCTTTAGTTATTTGGCAACTTTTTATTTTTTAGTTTTGCTTGTATTTTAGATTAATCTGTTCAAACATCCTAATGATGATGACCATTTATGAGTGCATGATGTTTTCTTTGATTTTCATGGTTTAGTTCGTTTGATAAAAAATTTGATTGATCAATTGGTTGCAGGTTGGCTCATGATTTTTGTTAATTATGGATTCCTTGATTCACAGGTATGCTAGTATATGGTTTCCATTGGTTCATGTTATATGTGTTTCACGATTTGAGGTTATTACTGGCCATGCTTATCTTACTCACATGTTTATCGCTAGACTTTAGGTACGAGAGTTTCTACTGTTATGCGACTATGTGCTTATCATTGTTTTCTTATCACGTGCTCATTCTTATTTGGACCCATTTATATGCTACCATTGATTAATGGTTCATGTGATGAGGACATCGTCAGTGATTTTGACACGTGTACCACCGGAGATCGACGACCACGATCAGGAGTTTATATTTTGAGTCATTTTATGTAGTAGTTTGTTTATTCTTCAGTTTTACTATTTTACCCTTATGGGTGGTGATTTGATATTGTAGCCCCGAGGGCATTTATGTCTTTTAGTTTTAGTTTCATTTTGGCCTATTTATAGGAGGCCTCATGCATTGTATGAAGGGGATTATTGATGAATGAAAATTTCTTTCTCTTGTTGATCTCTTTGTGAGTTCATGAAATTTCCCAAGATCTCTTTGTGAGTTCTTGAGGAGATAGTATTGTGGATCTCTTTGTGAGTTCCTGTGGAAGTGTTGTTCAAGGTTTGTAGTTTGATAACTTTCTTTTCCCTAACCAATCCCTTCTTCCCCTACTTAGCCGAAAATTCCCTTCCTCCCCAAAATTTCCCACCCCACCCACTCCACCGCCGGCCTCCCTTGGCCGGTCTAGCCACTAGCGGCCCTCCCAGCTCCCTTCCGCCAGCCGCCGGGTCCAAGCCCCACCCGTGGCCACCCTCCTTGCCGCCGGCCCTCTCTTGGCCCTCTTCCTTTTCAAATTTCAAATTCTCCTTTCTTAATTGGCTTTCTTAATTAAGCTTTGTCTGTTTAGGAAAGACATTTAAAGGAGTTGCACCCTATTTGAAATTCAAACTATTTTCCCTCTCATTCTAATTCAAATTTGGGAGTTGTTTTAAATTCAATCAATTCTGAAATTAAAATTCAGATTTGAATAGAATTAATTAACCCCTTGTGGTCCCCACATGCTTAACTCCAAACCCCTCTCTCTCCTCCCCATATGGCCGGCCACTCCTCTTTTCTTCTCTCTCCCAAATGATATTAAAGCCCCACCAAATCAGCCCCTTACTATCTCCTCCATTAAAATCCCTAGTCATTATTGAATTAATTTGAAATTTCAAATTAATCTCCCTCCAAAACCAATTGAAGTTGAAATTATTTTTAGTTTTCTAAATCCTTCCCTCTCCCTCTAGCTCATGGCCAACCCCTCTCTTCCCCAAACCGTTACTTCCACCTCCCCTCCCCCTCCCTCTTCTCTTCTCCAGTTATTACAAACATGAATGGAGGATCCAGAATTGGATCACGGATTTGCGTATGACTTTCAAGGAGATATCAACGTCGTCCGTTTGCCATTCTTTGATGTTGGGTTCGGCTTCGACCACACTGTCGAGGATTACTTGAACCGTATCCTTCCCACCCTCGTTGACGTCATCGACGAACAACTTCCGGCCGACGATTGGATCATCAATGGGTGTCCACCATCTTCCCCAAATCCGGCTTCTTCCCTGGCGACTAGTCTTCTCGGCGTCACTTGTGTGATAGTGGCATCGTTGAGTTTGTGCGCCATCTTCTTCCGCTAACCAAGTGAATTCAAGAGTGAAGTGAGGGACTTCAAGGTGAAGGATCTATATCTTAAGCCTTGGATTTTTGTTAAGAGCCATTTGTTTTATTACTTATCCATTCGTGTCGCTTCTAAGGTAATTGATTGACGTTGCTTAGTTCTTCCATGGAAATTTTTTACGATCTATCTTGGAATGCATTTGTTTTAAATTAGCAACGCAAGTTCACAAGTTATTAATTTCTAACAAGCAATTCTTGTCTATCGCATTTAGTTTCACATCATCATGTCTTAAGATGCGCCTCTATTTGAGGCGCGCAAAAAATGCCTCAAGGCTTGCTCCTCATTGTCAATGGTGAGGCTTGTGCCTTTTTTAACCAAGGTGTATGCCTTGAGGCATCTAGGATCTTGCAAACTTCTTGCTTGATGGGTTCGATTAAGATGGTTGTAGTCTTCCTTGTTTTTCGCTTGATGTGCTGAGCTTCCCTCTTGAGTCTTGACATTAAGTTTGTGAATGGCGACTTCAATTTCTACTCTATGGATCTCAACCACTATCCAAGCATAGACATTAAGATCATCTCTAAGTTCTTGGAAAAGTTCATCACGGCATGTTAGACTAAAAGATAAGCTTATTCACAAGGTTCTCTCTTAGTCATCTTCTATTGTGAGGACCTCATCCACTGCCTTGGTGGTCTGCAATTCGGGTCATCTCTCTATTTTGAGATGTAATACCTTCTCTAGTGATGTCACTAACTTTTATGCAGCCTTCAGGTAGTAGGCCTTTGACTACATGAAGGTCACCCCTCACTATGATTTTATGGCCTCTAGCCGAGAGCTTAACAACCATGATATGTTGAGACAACCGCCATGAGAGTATTTAAGAGTGGGTACCTCAAGATCGTATTGTAGGCGGTAAGTGCATCCATGATTATGAAGTCAGCCATCGCTATATATTGGTGCTCACCCTCACCCTAAGTGGAAGGTAGGGTGATCACACCTTTGATCTCTTGCCTCTTGCTTGAGAAACCACCCAGGTGGCAGGTAGGGTGATCAAGCCTTTGGCCTCTTATCTCTTGCTTGAGAAACCATATAGTGGGCCTGCGGTGGAGGTGAGTTGATAATCAAGCGAATTCATTTTATCAAAAATATATTTGAAAATTATACTAATTGAACTCCTTATATCGATGAGGGTGATGCTACTAATCATCTAACATTTGGCGGCCAATACCATGACTACCATGGCATCATTGAAGGAGTTCCCACTCTACAGCTTGTCTGCTTTGGAAAAGGTGATTGGGGGAATCTCAGTCATTGGCATTCACAAGGTGGTGGTCACATTAACCTCCTGTGTGAGGCCTCTTGAGGCTCTTGCCTCTTGTGATTATCCTAAACTTTCTCCCCCTAGGATGGTGGCCACAAACCATGCGATGTGGATTATGTGAGCCGAAACAAGCTCGTTCCCTTGATCTTGTACAGGTGCCTTCCCTGCTAGCTTGCATGGGTCAACCAGGATGAACTCATTCAACTTTCCTGCCTTTATTAGGTCTTCCATTGGGCCTCAAAGATGCCTTCATTCTCTCGTGTCACGCTCGTGCTCCTTGGGGAATGCATAGTGTTTAGAGGTGTCCCTTATATGTTCACTTGCCTTCATTGGCATTGGTGCTTAAAGAACTCCTTGTTTCAAATAACATCCAATAGCTCAACCATAAACACCTACAAGGAAGTGATGGTTGGGTACTTATGAATGGGCTACGCGCCTTCATCCCTATATAGGCAAGTAGTACAGGGTGCTCTTCCACTTACAAAGCAAGGAGCTCTGCAATTTTTAACGGTCTTCCCAATATGGGCGCCTTCTAATGACAAGGATGGCACCAGTTTTATAGTACACACGGCGTTCTATCAGCCTTACGGTTCTTGGGCGACTCCTATCATGCTCACAACTTTGATGTCAATCAAGCCTTATTATGGCTAGCTCCTTGGGCAAGTGGCCGAAGTCTCAACCACATATTATACTCCTCTGAGTTGATATAGTTGTTGGTGAGTTCCAACAGCTTGGCCAGCATTTGTGCCCTTCAAGATTGCAATTATATCTAAAAGACTATGCTATTGCGGGCTCTAGATCTTTAACCCTAGCATCTCCTTTTGGAATCTAATGATGAAGTTTCTCAACAACTAGCCGCTCTTGTCTCATTTTTAGCAGAGCTTGTGAGTTTTTAAGTGGCATTTGAATGCTCGCAAACTGTGACAAACCTTCTCTTGAATTTAGAGAATGAGGTGATGACACCCGACGGTAGGTTAGAAAACTATTGAAGGATGAATTCCTTAAAGGTGGTTAAGAAAAACCAAGCCATCAATGCACGTTGATGTCCGTTGTGACGTCATTGGCTTGAGATATGCCACTTGGTCAGTGGGGTTTGACCTTCCCCGGTACAATTCTAAGTGAGGCATTTTGCACTTGATGGGTAGCTTTGCCTTTGCAAACTCCCTAGAGAATGCATTAGTTAGTTTATGATCCCTCCTCACTCGCTTGGGCGGAGTATTCTACTCTTCGTCACTAGTGTGGTTGTGGCTATGGTAAACATTGGGGATTAAAGTTAGCACCTTGGCCTCAACCGTCCTTCGGCGAGCTGCCAAGTTAGATGACCCTTTTGGGGTACTCTACCTTTGGGAATTTTTTTGAACTCGGCTTAGTGCGTCTTGGATCAGCTTAGTGATTCAATCCATCTCTATCAATTCATGGAGGATGGTGTAGTTTTTGTCCCTTCAACTCCTAATTTTGCTACTCTTCACATTGTGTCTGTATTCTAATCACTAGTTTAGAGGATGTTGGATTTAAATTTGTTTGTGGATAATATCCAGCCTTAATAGTCCTTTAGCGGGTTGGAGCTAAAAAACCAAGTGAGGAAAGCATGAAAGTAAGTAGAAAGCAATAATATTTATTAAGTTAATCCCCACAACATGTATTCCAGAATATGCATATTCATAGGGTTAAAAAGACTATGAAAGGCTACAAGTAGAATAAACAAAAAAAAAGTACATGATATGGCCGCCAATGCAAACTGACATTGATACGTGGACTAGCTAGATGGTGTATACGTGACCCCTAATTCTGGCGAGTACCTTGGGCGATTTTTTAGGCGGGTCTTATGGACTTGGCATATAAAGTGAGTTTGAAAACAAGACCCTAGGAACAGACAGAAGTCCCTGATGTCAGACAGCAATTCCTCGGGAATAGATAGTGAGCCCCATTGGTAGAAGTTGCTACTAGCCTGAGACGAGTTCAATCCATGGAGTCATGGTTGTAAATTTTGTAGGCGGGAGCTTCCTGTAGATTAATTTTAAAGCTTTAATATATATATATATATATACAAACACACACACTAACCACACCAAACTTTAGAAGAGCAACCTGACCTTAAACTCATAATCGCATGATGCACACTGCATGACCCTCATGCTTGCACTCAATCCTATTGTCATCATCATTGGTACGATGTTGCCATTGGTTCTCCACTTCTCCTCCAACACCTCTCCTCGTGTTGCAGGAGACTCATTTCCTTGTTTTTAGTATGAGGAAGGAAGCAATTTATTATAATGATAATTCTAACGAAAACCCTTTAAATGATAAGAGTGGAGATGACTTTTGAGTATTCATATATTATTACCTTAGATTGCTTTTATATATTCAATTGGGAGATTATTTATTTAGTATTGTTTATAGCCTTATGCACACTTTGACTTTTTATGATTTTATTTCGACATCTTATTTTGTTGTTAACATGTTAATTATTATTTTATATTTTTCCCTGAATTTAATGATTTAATTTTGAGGCTTTCACATAAAAATACCTTGAGTCTTGTGCCTGGGCATACAGGAAAAAAAAATCTCAATACTCAATTGCACAATTTTAAATTTTGTCATAGAACAAGGAGAGTCTAGGAACTTTATCCTGCTCTCACTTTCATTTCAGCGAGAATTGAACGATTGAATTATTAATGCCTTAATAAATCACTAGTGAAGCTTTTTGCTGCTTCGGTAGGAGATATCAATGATGCTATCTTTCTCTGGCATATGGATGTTTAGGCTGCTGTACTTTTGTCAAATCTCAAGATGAAGCTTCTTGTTGCTCGGATTGGAAATATCAGCATAGTGCCTTTCTTCTTTATACTTTAGGATGTTTAAGACTGTCTTTGTGTGTAAAGCAGGGAGCATAATCCTGTGCCTTCACACCTTTGCTTGTTAATATTTAAATTACCATATTATCAGAGCTGTTAAAGATAAATACTACAACTATTCCAAACAATCTTTCTTCCCAATTTTGCGCATGAGACAGCAGTGGGAGCTGTAACTTGATTTCTATTATGAGGTTTGAAATCTCTACTTGTGGAATAGTTAGCTTTTTATGTTACAAGATTTAATTTTCATATTCAAACTTTATCATATTCAAACTTTATGCTTTCAACTATTATATTGGTTTAATGCAATGTACACCCTTCTATTCCGACTTTTCAAATGATTGCCTTTTTATAGAAAAAAATTCTTGACCAAGTTGCCTATTGTTTCTGTATTGGGTTAAGCTTTTTAATAATTGCTTTTCAAATGCTTTGAGTTTATCATCCTATGATGCATGGATTAGGCAATTAGCCTTGTTAAACTAGGAAGTAATTCGTAACATTCTAGAACAGTTTTTGTGTGTGTGTGTTCTCTTAGGAGTCACTTGTAAACCTTTGATGAAGGGCATTTTGGTTCTTTGAAAAATCATAGAATGGATAGATGAGTCAATTTGTCTTTATGATTTGACTTTGATTGAATTGCCCAGCTTGTGGGGAATTTTGGTTTCTGGGCAATCAAAAGGTGGATATTTGAGTTATGATGCATCTAACATTTGTGGTGGTCCACATGTCATTTGATGTTGATTCAAATTGGATAGCCTATTTTGCACTAAGTGCGTATGAGATAAGTGTTATGGAATGTGCTAAATCACGGTTCATGGCTTGGTCAACGCATATCTGTGGGCCTTGAACCACTAGAAGTTTGGATGAGCATAGTCTTGTTTGAGCCACATTATGCACGGATTTCTTGAGCATGAATCACAATGTTGACTATCACTGATAATTTCAGTGCTGTTTTTAAGGGTCATATTAGTTGGGGAATTGTTTTGAATTTTTTTGTAAGACATTGAAAATCTCCATTTCCTCTTCGGAATGCTCCTTGTGATGCTAATTCCATTGATGTTGTCAGGCTAGAAGGGTTTTTTTTATCAAGCCTACGGTTCAAGAATAACTGGCCCAAGATCCCTTTACAGTAAGAGCGCTGACAATTTGTGTTTAGTCTGTGTATGTGAAGGAAGTGCACATCTTTCGAGATATTTTACTCTTTTAAGATTTATTGCTTATAACAAGGATTACTAATTACTCTATATGAAGATCAAGCCGAACAATTAGCAAAAGATGAATGAAAATAATAGGAACGCGTTTCATTTGAGAAGAGGAATAGGGGTGTCAATTCGGGTCAACCCGTCGGGTTCGGGTCGAACCCGACCCTGATGAAAGGGGGAAAATATCACAACAGATTAGATCTCAAAACAATACTGAAATAGTTACTTATGGTAAATGAATAAATATGGAGGTAGACAGCTTGATATCATTTTGCAGTTGTACCCTTAATGTCAATATAAAGATTAAAAGAGCCTTAAAGAAATAATTTTGGCAAATTGCTGGAGAGTTAAAAGGCAAGAAATCGTTAATGTGCTAATCTTCAATTGAGCTGCTTGTAATTTTTGGGTGCATTTCCTCTTTACTGTTTGAGGGGCTATGGAGAGCGTCTTATTTTAGTTTAAAACATTTGGTGTTTTCAAGAAAGGTTTGGAATGGTTTTCCCACAAAAAAAATCCTATAACTTTATGTGTAGGATGTGTATTTGATGCATGGATGGTTTTGTTAAACCAATCCATTGGACCGGTCCAGACGGTCCATACAGGACTGGCTCGTGCAAAACAAGTGGAGAGTTTCGCCTCCTGTACGCAGGAGCCGACCGTCTAGTTCTGGCAGATCTGTTTAGGAAGGTTTTTGAAATGAGTTGGGAGGGAAATTTAAAAGTAGGGGCTGTTTAGAGATTTCCTTTTGAATTGTATGCACCAAATAGTTTGTTTTCATATGGTTAGGGCATATTGAATTTGGGCTGAATTTGAGATCTCTTAGGTTTAGATTTTTTTGGGCTCTAGCGGCATCTAGAGATTTGGGAGAGATTGATCCTCCTCTCGATTCTTGAATTGATGATCAACTGTATCTTGCTATTTTCCATTTCTATTTCATCAAATAATACAAATTATCTACTGTTTTCGTGATTTTGTGTGAATTTTTGTGTAGAATTCTCGCTGTTTACCGAAGATTGATAGGAAATACTTGAGATGTACAATTGTTTCCTAACAGGTTTATAATGTATGTTTAGTGCCCAAACCTGGAAATCTCCTTGGTCTTCTATTCCGTCAATTTATTTATTTTTGGACAGTGAACATCACATTATTTCTGGGATAAATTGTTTTGCCAGTATCACTTTATGATTATGAAGAGCACACTGATGTAGGAAATATGATTGAGGAAAGTCCAGACTCCGTGTTGCCTTCTTCTGTTGTTGGCCTATATGCCAGCTTATTTGAGCATGGAAGTACGACAGAAGTTCAGCTGTAAGTTTCTCTCGCGTTTATTTTTCAAAAAAATTATAGTGTTCCATGTAGATACTGATACTTCTGACCGTTATGTCCAGCCTTTCAGATGCAGGTCACCCAAGGTCTCAAGATTCACGTGACATCATTGCGTCACTTAGAAGATCTTGTGAGTCATTTCACAGGCTTAATGCTCCAAGATCTGCTGCTTATTGCAGTCATAGAATGGCTAGGGAATATTTTACTGCAGGGGATTTTGATAATGCGAAGCAGTTATTTGATGGTGTTACGGGCCTTTACAGGCAAGAAGGTTGGATCACTTTGTTATGGGAAACTTTGGGTTACTTGAGGGAATGTTCCTGGAGGCTTGTTTCAGTGAAAGATTTTATCCAGTACTCCCTTGAGATGGCGACCTTGCCTGTATTTTCTAGCAGTGGAGTAGAAACTTTAGATGGTAAAAGGGCGTATGGCCCTGCTGGCCCTCCTACTCTTTCACAGAGGGAGACAATACAGCAGGAAGTTTTCAGCCTCCTAAAGGGACACGCAAGTGAACTAAGCAGTGGCCTTATCATACAAGATGACCAGCCTACAAGTCTTACTGTTGATCTAGTAAATCCACTTAGGATGGCGTTCCTCACTTCTGTTGCTTTTCACAGTCAGACTATGAAGCCAGGCTTATCGGCACTCATAACTGTGTCTATACTATCACAACTGCCTCATCCAGTGGAGATCGATCAGTTGGAAATTCAATTCAATCAGCCCAGCTGTAATTTTAAAGTAGTCAATGATGAAGAATTCTTTACCAAAGAGGTCAAGGAAGAAAACCATGATACCCATTTAAAATCAATTCCATCTCTTATATTGACTACCAACAAGTGGTTGAGGATGACATTTGAGATAAGTTCTGGTACTTACTAATCTTTCTTTTTGGCCTTTACTTATTCTTCTGCAAGCTAGCTATTTTTGAAAATTTAGATAATTAGATTCTGCGGTTACTACCATGGCAGGTGCTATGCTAGTGTACCTGAAATTTTATGCTTGAAATTGTAATCCAGAAACAGAAATGAATTTTCATAGATCTAAGATCTTCGAATGTTATTATGTAGGACAAAGTGGAAAACTTGAGTGCGTGTCAGTAAATGTTATGGTGGGGCATCTGTTCACTTTCTGCTGCAGGCCTGAGAGTCCTGCTTCAATGGAAGGTTTGGCCCTGTGGAAATTTGAGGATCTGATGGAGAATTTTCCTTCTAAAGACCCCATAGTCTCATTTTCTGGCCAAAAGTATATTCAGGTGGAAGAACCCGAGCCTCAAGTAGAACTCACGTTGAGTGCATCAAGCCCTGCATTGGTTGGGGAGAGCTTCATAGTTCCCGTCTCTGTCATCTCCAAAGGTCATGCTATTCATTCTGCTGAACTTAAGATTAACCTCGTGGATGCAAAAGGTGGTGGGATGCTAATGAGTCCAAGGGATACAGAGCCATTTTCCTTAGACGACCACCATGTAGAACTTCTCTGTGTTTCTGGGGCATTTGAAGATGATTCCCAATCAAATTCTGATGACATTAGGAAAATACAGCAGTCGTTTGGAGTGGTCTCCGTCCCATTCTTGGGTGCTGGGCAATCATGGTCCTGCCGACTGGAAATAAAATGGAACAGACCCAAATCTGTTATGCTTTATGTTTCACTTGGTTATCTGCCAAACACAGAAACCAATTCACAGAGAATTAACGTGCACAGGAGCTTGCAGATTGAAGGTAAAATCCCATTCACTATTTCTCATCGCTTCATGATGCCTTTTCGCAGGGAAGCTTTACTTCTTCCCAGAGTCACAGCATTACCAGATGTTCATCGCAAGATGAGATTGCCGCTGAACGAGCGAACTATTCTCATGGTGAGTGCTAGAAATTGCAGCGAGATTCCGTTACGCTTGGTATCATTGTCCATTGAACCAGATGGCAATCAAGATCCAGAATGCTCTTGCTCTGTGCAGCAAAGCGGCAGTGTTTCTTTTGGTCCTCCCCTTATTGTTCCGGGTGAGGAATTCAAACAGGTTTTTTCCGTGACACCACAAGCTAATTCACCAAATATTGAGATCGGCACAGTTCATCTTAAATGGGTGAGAGATTCCAATCCCGGCAGGCATTCTAACGTTGTCCTTACGAAACAAGATTTGCCCGGCGTAAGTGTCGAGACGCCGACACTGGTTGTGAGTCTTGATTGCCCTCCCCATGCTGTTCTTGGATTTCCTTTCTCATTTTACATCAAAGTTCACAACAACACAAGCCTACTTCAGGAGATAAATTACACATTAGGGGACTCCCAGAGTTTTGTTTTTACTGGTCGTCACACTGATTCAGTCTTCATTCTTCCAAAATCGGAGCACATAATCAGCTATAAGCTTCTGCCACTGGTTTCAGGCTTGCAGCATCTTCCAATTGTCACTGTGACTTCAGTGAGGTACTCAGCTGCAATGAATCCTTCGCTTGCAGCAACTACTCTTTTTGTATATCCTTCAGAGCCCTATTTTGATACTGGAAGAAAGAGTGAACTGGTACAAGCTTCCTAGTGTATTTCTCTGGATCTTATTGCAGGTATGCCGATTCATCTAAAGCCTATATTTTTTGTTTAATTTATTCATTGAGGATCTGCATTCTATAAAAATTTTCACGAGGATTATCATCAGTTCCTTAGTATGGACGCTACCATTTTAAAGGGTATTATGCATTTTAAGATGGCTCGCTTGTTCTGCATCTTTCTTAGCTCGGGAGGTCTATGTATACGCTATATATGTTTCTTTATAATTGACATAAACTTTCTTCACAATTGATATTGATCTGTTTCTATTAAAAGAGAAGTTGATATAAAGGTGAAGGGTTGTTTTTATATTTTTGTTTTTAGTTTATTTTCTTTTTACTGTGTCATCTAGATGACAATGTTATTCAAATAATGATATGGCCATCTTGACTTCAGTCCTTAGCTTAAAGCAGATAAAAAGTTGGATAGGCCAAGAAAGTAAATAAGGAAATCGTCTCCTTTGTTTCAAAAATTCTTCCCTCTATTCGAAATTTATTTATTTGTGTGCTACATGTGTGCCATAAATCTGAAAACATGAGGCTTGAATATGTGATGTTGAGGAAATAACCTTCTATTGAAAATTATGAGAGAAGAATACATATTTTCTAAGGTGTAGAATGAATACAATATTTTAGGTCCGACAAAGATGTGATTTCTGCTTTCGCCTGCTTAGCTTTGCGGAGATGTCAATTCTTCCTCTCACCTCCTCAGCCCAACGAAGATGCCGTCACTCCTTTAGCTCCTCACTCCAATGGAGATGCCGCTCCTTCCTTTTGTCTCTTGGCTCGGTGAGATGTCGAATCCCTAGCCTCCTCGGCTAGCTGGTCTTTGGCCCCAAAGACTCTTCCCTAGAGCTCCTCTCTTAGAGCTCCAACACAATATAACTGGAGGATGCAAAGTGCAGGCTAGCGGAGTAATCGTGTGACCCTCTCACACCCCTTGACTTCCTCTAGGTCTCTCTTTCTCTCAACCTCATCACCTATCTCTCCAAAGTGAATGTGGACTCTCTGCATGCTCTCTCACAGAAAGAAATTATCACTTGACTGCCAAAAATTCTCTTCAAGATGGGAAAGAGTTTATAAAGTGTGCTATAAAAAATCCCAATTTTTAATTAAATAGTGTTTGTCTGTACATTATGATTTTTAGATCGTCAAGTGCTATTAGTTCAATTTCGTCGAAGATTGTCCTGTATGATTAAGATCGTCTAGTATGATTAGTTTAAATGAAATCTCAGATCATACATGATGAACCAAAGTTTTTCTGAAGAGCTCTCAGATGAATCAGACTGTACAATATTTGTATTGTACAGTACGATTTGCAATTAAATCAGATCCGATTTAGTTCCTTAATCTATGGATTAAATAGGCAACTTAATTAACATTCATAAAATATGATCAGTTCAAAATTTTAAATTCAAAATTGCCTAATTTAGAAAACATAAATTCAATGGTGAGCTTTTATCAGAATAGCTGATCATACAGTACGATTTATGGTTGTACCATTATTAGATGCTGTGTGATACTTAGGTTTCACCATAAAGCTATTATTTTTTGATTCGGTTTTCCCTCCTACGGTTGTCCCTTTGGGTTCTGGTGTGCTGCAGTTTTTATGTGTTTTTATTAGTTGTTTTGAGGTGCATTAATTACATGTATTAATTATTATTTTTTTTAACCTTTTCTTCCTCTATATAAGGGTTGTTTTGTGGCTGTTTTAGGTCAGTGTTATGTGTTAGTTTTTGGAATGAAACCCGCAGGTTTTCACTAGCTTGCAAGCTAGCATCATTTCCCCTTCCCCTCTTATACTTCGTCTCAGTCTTCTAACATCTTCTTCTCTATCCACAATTCCCGCCCTATTTGTATCCTTCTTCTCTAAATTAATATAAGTTATATATTTGTAAGTTTGCTATGATTATATTGTAAGGAAGTCTCTATTTTTTATTAGATTTTGCAAATCTTTCATTTGCATCAATTAAACATTTAAATTAATTTATGTTTGAATATATCCTAAAATACAATTTGGATCGGATAGTTCAATTAAAAAAAATTTAAAATTATTTAATTTCACTCCCCCCTTGTGTGTATGCACGGTTACTAACATACACTTAATACAAAAATTGAATAAGAAAAATAAAAATTATAGATTTTTTTGAAACATGAATTGACTTATACATTGATACAACGCTGATTGAAGGCGACTTTTTAATTCTTTGCTTGATGTATGTTGTACTTGAGATGGTTAGTAGCACACACAAAAAAAATATATAACATACAATGTAGGAATAAGTAAATAATCATCAAAATATTAGGTTAGGCTCCCAAATTGCAACACATAACACTTATTTTGTCAAATTACCTTAAAAAATTACTCTTATACAAGTCTTAGAAGCCAAGTGATACTTCTCATAACGAATATCAATTATGATTTTTTTTCATGATATTCATAACCACATAAGTCCATAATGTGCATCTAAGAAAATTTTTGAGAAAATTTTTGTGATAATAATGTATCTATACACATATAAGCATTAAGTTTTTCATTATGCCTACTGACTTCCTCAACCTGGTCATAAAATATAGCCATGAGTCATTTATTTTGGGTTAATATTTATAAAGGACATAGTAAATTTGAGTATCAGTATCTTGCTCCACTGCAATAAGCAAAATACATATTTATCTTTATACAATATAAGAATGTTAATGCTTAATTTACCAATAGAAACTATTTCATCATTGTATAACTTCACATTGAAATAAGTCCTATCATATTCAAACATTGATTTTTTTTTTTTTTTTTGACTTGAGTAAAACGAATGAATTGTAAAACTCAAAGATAAGGGTAATGTAGGCGGAAAGTGGCGAGCTACTACGACAGTGTTTGATAAGGAGTACATGCAATGATAAACGATGGGAGGTGGCGGTCTGCAGCAGTAGTGCCAGGCAATGGTTGAGGGCGGCAAGTTGTGGTGAGAATAACAAAGATTTAATAATGTATTTTAAAATTGATCAAATTTAGTTATTTTCAAAGACACTAAAATTGAATTAGATAGTGAAGTTTAAATTTATCAATAAATATACATTGCATTTGAATTTCAATCAATCATTTGAATTCTTATAATAAGGGTGGAGAGAAGGGGGCCTAAGGGTGCAAATTGCAAAGTCCTCCCACAAACCAAAATAAAAAAAGTATTTTTAATATTTTTTGGAATAGAATCCTTACACTTTTATACTTTTATATAACAAAAAAAATTACATTAAGATATCATGATCAAAAGATTAAAAGTTTTAGATTTTATTTAATATAAATACTTGAGCGAACTTTTTATCTTATAATATGAGAAATAAATGATTAAAAAAAAGATTGGTGGTAAGTGAATGAGTGATATTAGTCGTTTATATTGAGAAAAAATATTGAACTGTATTGGTAATGATTTAATCATTCAATTCTGAAGAAATTGTATTATAAATTTTAATTTTTTAAAAATCTTATATTTATTTTTAAAAATAATGAAATCCTATAATTTTTTTTCTACTTTTAATATTAATTTCGAGCATGAAATAATTAAAAAGGTTAGTTTGTGGCCCATTAAAAAAGTTTCTAGCTGTGCCACTATCTTAGAATGTATATATTCAAAATATATTACACTAAAAATACAGTCTAAATGCTCCTAAATTATCTTTATTATATAAAATTGTGGCGTCATGGCCTCGTGGGCACAGCGGGCAGCGGGTTGGGCAGAAGTGCGCCAGGGCGTGGGGCAGTGGGCGGGAAATCCGGATTTTTTAAATTAAACGAGTTTTCGGGTCGACCCGGCAACCTGCCGGGTCAACCCGAAGCCGACCCATTTTACAAACGGATCGAAATCTTTAACCCAAACCCGAACCTGGTGACTCAAACCCGAAATTTTCGGGTCGAATTTTTGGATCAGGTCAAATGTTAACAGCTCTATTCGAGATCACGCACCGGTTTCGTCATTATACCGGTCGGTTTATTAATTATTGGTAAATCCCGTTCGCACCATCTTACAGCGGAATCCAAAAGAACAAGTTCGATTTAATCCCGCACCGCCTCACGTCCACCTATAAATAAGTCATCGAGGAATGATCGCGATTATCTTCTGAGGCCGTCTCTTCCTTATCCGCAAACCCTAACTAGGGTTTTTCCATCTGCCCTAGTCAGATTAGTGTTTTTGACGGTGCATATCGCTTTCTCTCGTTCTCCTTTGGTCTCTGCGCGAATTTTTCTGCAGCCATGTACTCGCACGATGCAACTCGCAAGAGGGGTAGGCCTGATGCTGCGAATGGAAATGGCAACGTTCCCAGCCTTAAGCGATCGAAAGGTGAGGCGCCGCCTCCTTTTTTTTTTCTGAACTGTTTTTCTTCTGTTCTATTTGGTGTGACTGTCTGGATCTGCTGAATAGGCCGGATTTATTTGGTTTTAAGGTTTTTGATTAATGATCTCTGCTCTTTTTGTGTTTTTACTTTTGAGATTGAACAGCTTCAAGCTATGGCATGAAGTGGTTGTTTTATCAGATTTGGTGCATTTTTTTCTTCTTAAGCTATAAAGAAATAGTAATGTGTTTAAATAATGTATACGTTGATTAGATAGTAGTGCTTTAGTTACTTTTGCTTTGTTCTGTATAATTGATATGCATTTTCTTACATGACTAAAGAATGACAAGTGGGTTCATCACATAAGAAGTTGATGTGGATGACTAGTTTGGCTTATTAATCACAACTTTTAAAGCGCCGTGAAGTAATGTGAATGTTGCATTTATAATAATAAAGTTTCTTGGTGGTTACAAAGAGAGAAAGACTGAATAAGTTTTGAAAAGGTCAGAAACTTACGTTGTTTGACAATACTTTGTTTTTTTTAATAGTCTAATTTATAAGTATTTTGATGCATAAGCATTTGATTTATAGAATATTATGTTTCTATTGCAATGCTCAGGAGACAAAGTATAAAAAAGAGGCATCGAATGTGAATTCACTTTGTTGAGTGAAAAGTGTGCAAGTGGAAAGGCTGTCAGGAAAACGTCTATTTCAACTTATGAACTTCTGATAATAAAAGAGACTTGTTTATGACCAACTTTAAACCGTTTCATCTCTTCGCTAAAATTGTGCGACTTATTTGTTAATGGGTGTACTTTTTCCTATTTTTGGTAAACTGATGAATTAGGATTTCTATTATCCTTAATATGCTAGCCTCAATGTGGCGCTTTTATGATATCTTAATCAAAGGCTGTGATGTATTCGGATTATGAAATTAGTTCTTTTTAATTAGTGAGACTGCCTCACTGTGATAATTTTTCTAATATATTTAATGCAAGTTATTATGTTTTTGAATCATCAAGATCAATAATTAGTGAAACTTTAACTGAGAAAATAAGGTTAATTTCATGCAACAGAAATGGAGTCCAATCAATCTGGTTTAGGAAGCAAATCGAAGCCATGCACCAAGTTTTTCAGGTTCTAATCTTAACCTGTGCAAGATAAATATGAAAAGATGAACTTGTTTTTTTAATATGCACAATTTAAACATGAATGTTTTCCTAATTTTAGTTAAATCGAATGTTTCTAATCTAATGAATTGGTGATCTAAGCTTGTGATACAGGTTCTGAATTAATCAAGATAACAAGTTTTTCTACAGTGTAATTTCGTCACAAACAATATCCGACATGGATTTAACTGGTACAAGCTCATGTGAAACTAAGCAATTACAGAGCCAATGGAAGTAAAAACTGCTTCATAGAATATGGCATGGTGATAAGCTTTCGAAATTTTTGGGGTTTGCATCAACTGGATCTTTTTCAACTTAGTTTGAATATTCTTTCTAGCTTACATTTTCGAACAAAATTTGATTTCGTAAGTTGATGCATACATTTTATAAAGGCTCCCTTTTATAAGTAAGGTCTACCCAGTCAATCTAAAGTGAAAGAAATTGTGGTAAGGGTTTTTGATTAAATCTTCGATTGTCAACAAATGTTTAAGCTCTGAAGGAAAGTTTCCCATCAAGTTCTCTGCTTGTTCAATAAGCTTTCAATATTTGTTAGTTTTTCTACCTTTTTAGTAATCTACATACCTGGTTATTGTTTGGTAAAACACCTGGTTATTATTTGGTAAAACTTATCCTTGTTTGAGTAGTTTGATTTTTATTAATATAATAATCAATTTTAATTTAAATTTTTGTTGTCATCAACATGCTTGATTTTTTCCCCTAAAGTCATACTTTTTCTGTTGTTCACATGAAAGTTAATGAGATTTAAGAATCTATTCCTGAAAGAAACAAATAAATCTAAGAATAAACCCGTTGCGCAATCATTATCATTGAACATTTTTTATCAGTTGATAAAAGAAGTTGGTATTGTTTTTGTAACAAATAAAGTGTCTTCTATTATTTTTTCTTAGGATTTGTTTTTTATACCGGTACTGTTGGTTTATCCATATTGTTTTTTGGTGTTGGCATTTTTGTCATTATGCCATTTTGATCTACGTCTTTCTTATCTTAATATTTTTCATTGTGACAGCTGTTAATTCTATATGAATTAGTTATATTCTTATGTCTTTTGCATTTTACTCGTAGAAACTTTGAAATGCTCATTATGTTCTGCAATTCTAGTATATTGGACTCTTTTGCTTTTGTGCAGATTTGGGAGATTAAATTACCATTACTGTTTGGTTTAATTCTTCTTCCTTGTATCTGTGGGGCCTCTAATTGAATCCATAGTTTATCAATAGATACTATATTCAGTGTGTTAGTTTATGCTTAATTTGCCGATGTTGCTGCTGAATTACCATAATATGATATTTTTTATTGAATAAGAAATAACCTTATTTTAATACTTTCATCAAACTTTTTCCGAGCTAATAAGTTTTTTACTTGGATTCTTCCCAAGACATTTTTTTTAAGATACTTCTCGAATTCAACTGGTCGTTTTGTCATTCTCACTCCTTTTAAGATACTTCTCAAATTCAACTGGTCGCTTTGTCATCCTCCCTACCTCCTTCTTTTGTTCTTTACTCCTTGCATAATTATTGGCTATTCATATACTGATAGCACTAATTGTGTTGGTTGTGGTAATTGCTATTTTTACTCTACATTTCTTTTCCTTTCTTAAAATTGATCATTACAACATCCAAGTCAATTATTCTTATGTTATGAATCACATGAACACATTTTCATGCCTTGGTGTTATTTTTAGAGATTAGATGAACACGGTCTCATCTCTTCCACATTATTATAAAGCTTGATGTGCTCAAAGTTGTATTAGGAGTTTCTAGATCTAATTAAGATGCTTGATGATTGAACACGACCTGGGTAACAGTTTCAGGATAGATGAGTGAGATGTATTTGGTTTTCTTATATGTTGGATCAGTTCTAACGCCACAATTGTGCATGGGTCGCTTGACTCCCATCCTTTACCATTTCTTTGCATTTTTTTCTTTTTGTTTTTGTAGTAACTCTATTGCATTGTTGTTCCTTATCTTCAATATTGACCATCACTATGCCATCTTTCTAAGTTGATGTGGCCATGTCTTCCAATCAACATTACATATCTAGTTTGTGATGTCTTGAATCTGGTTCTCATCCTTGCCACTTATTCACATCAGCTTTATAGCCCTAGCACTCTTTGTTTTGTTGGCTCAGACTTGCTCCCATCACATGCCATTCTTTCATCTCTTTTCTCTTTGACATTTCACTCGTGGTCCCTTATGCCACTGCTCTCTGCTATCAACATTACTATTTGAGTCCGTAGGTCCTTTTGATGTTGATCTCGTAGCCATCTCAACCTTTGATTGTCAATTGGTTTTTAGTTGCAGCCTTGGTATCTCTCTTTCTATCTCTATTTTTCTCATGTATTATGGATAAATGCCAAGTTGAAATTATTAGAAGAAATGATAGTAAAGCCTTTAGCTTTACTCTTCCACCCTAATTTCAATTTTGTATTTTTATTACTTTTATGCTGTGTTTCTCAAAAGAAAATGTTGTTGTTTTGTTGTTGGGAATAAAGTTATAAGATTTTATTAACAATGTTTTTTATTGTTATTGTATGTGAAGTATATGATATTATATTTCATTTTGTGGTGCTTTCAATAGAAATGCTTGTATTATTTGTTTTAATTACACATTTTATATCATTAATGTATACAAGAAAATTGGGTTCCCTGCATGTTTTTCCTATTTTACTAGCAGAATAGCCAATATTACCGAGACTTGTTGTGTCATGGTCGACTTCATAGTTCCTTTGTTTTGACAATAAGCATCATGTTCTTACTGCATATTATCTTGTTATTGGTGGACTCTAAGGCTGATTTATGCGTTTCTTTGGTTAGATTATATTTGCTGATGGGTTAGCTCTGATTAGGTTTAGATTTATTTGTCGATCAGATTTTCTGGAACCATTTATGACCTATGGTTCTTTTGGAAATGAGTAAATCGAAGGATTTGAATTTAATCTAAAATATTAAAAGGAAATTGGCTAGACAATAGGAAAAATGTTAGGACTGCATATTAACTTGTTTTTTGTGGTCTTTAGCTTGTCATTACTCGATAAGTAAATTTCAATGTGATGCTAATTTGGTTATAGGTAGACATGATCAGAGTTGGATTATAGAATGGAAAAGGATGATGATTTTAGGCTTACCCGTGAAATCAGATTTTCTGGAACCATTTTTGGGCCTACTATCTAATGGTGTTTGACTGTTTTCTGCTTCCGGAGCTAGTTTTGACTTAAAAAATATAATAGGAACAAGTAAATGGGCAAAAAAACTAAAATCTAGTAACTTTTACCAGTTCTCTCTCTCTCTCTCTCTCTCTCTCTCTCTATTGAGATGCCAAGTTTCCTCATACTTTAAACATGTAGAAAAAATGAATTAGTCGGCCATTTTTGACACATTACAGTTTTAGCTCTTCAGTTAGTTTGATGTCTGGGGACCTTATCATATGCTTTAGAGGAACAGAAAAAATGTGATGTGATAGCTCAATTCAGATGTAGTTTAACTTGTAACTTATTAATACTTCAAATTTGTATTAAATAATCTATAGATGCATATATTTTATTGATATAATTCTGTGGTTTATTAACATCTTGAATTTCTATCACTATTTTTATTGCTATAATGATTGTAATTCAATATCGATCTGCTTTTTTGTTTTAATTGGTTTGAGATAGTTGCTTTACCCACAACTTGTCGAACAATAATGACGCATCATGATTGATGTGCTTAAAATGCTTTTAAATCTAAAGCATAAGTATAGTGATTAGAACCTAGTGGTGGGTATCCTGCACAGCTTTTACACCAATGATTTATCTATGTTCTAGATTCATTATTGATGCTCAGATTAAAATTATTTGAAGTACCTATTCCATGGGGTTCTGGTTAATTTTGTTTTGAAAAAATATATATAGGATTGCCTGCTCTTTAGGGCACCTTCAACAAAACTGTTTATTTGCCCCAGCGTCTTATATCATGATTATGTTGTCTGCAGCACTTCTGGGTGCCCTTTTGGTGAGGGATGTCACTTTCTCCACTATGTACCTGGGGGTTATAATGCAGTAGCACAGATAAACAACCGAGGAAGTACTGCTCTCCCCCCTCCTTCAAGGAATCATCTCATTGGACCAACCTCTTTATCTGATGGACCTGCAACTCCAGTCACTAAGACTCGCCTGTGCAACAAGTATAACACAGCAGAGGGCTGCAAATTTGGTGATAAATGCCATTTTGCCCATGGAGAAAGAGAGCTTGGCAGGCCACTTCATTCAGGCCACGAACAACACCCAATGGCGAATGCAATTGGTGGACGACTTGGAGGTCGCTTTGAGCCCCCGCCGCCTCCTGGTCTTGGTCCAGCAGCCAGCTTTGGCGCCTCCGCCACCGCCAAGATAAGCGTTGATGCTTCCTTGGCTGGTGCCATCATTGGTAAGGGCGGGGTGAACACCAAGCAGATCTGTCGCTTGACAGGAGCTAAATTGTTTATTCGGGAGCACGAGACTGACGCAAATCTAAGAAACATCGAACTGGAAGGAACATTTGATCAGATCAAGCAGGCGACAGCGATGGTGAGGGAACTAATTGTTAACATCAGTAGTAGTGCTGCTCCTATGCCCCTGAAGCCAGCCGGTGGTTTTGGGGCTGGAGGAGGCAATGGTGGTCCTGGGAGCAATTTCAAGACAAAAATGTGCGACAATTTCAACAAGGGAACCTGCACCTTTGGCGAGAGGTGCCATTTCGCCCATGGCGCTGCTGAGCTTCGTAAGGCAGCTGCTTGAAACATTTAAACCCCATCTTTTGAGCGGACATTTGTAGCGAGCACTGGTTGGTTGGTTGGTTTTGTAGTTGTCTTGGAACGGTTGATGAACTCGTAGTTTTCTCTCTGTTATTGCATCTCTATCTAGTAATTTTCGCTATGATGTTTTGTATTTATCAGCATTTCTTATCTATGTTATTCGGTAGCTTCATGATTTGACATCTTGATTCACCATTTATGTTTAGAATTGCTTGGAAACTGTTGAATTTGTATAAAAGTATTTTGGTTAGAATTGCTTTTGAAACCTTAACAAAATTTGTTTAAAAGAGTTCCGAGTCTGATCTTGTGTTAGGCAGTCTCAATGAGCAGAACGCTGCTGTAGGGGTCAGGCTAAGGCCTTGTATGGGAGGACTAAGATTTTATTTTGGACAGTTTTCTTCTCGCATTTAATAAGAGCTATTTCAAGATTGGTTCATTTTAAAATTAAATTTAATGTGTTATAAATTTAATATCATATTAAGTATTAATTACTTATTTATTTTAATTTTAATTTTATTTAATAAATTTTAATGAAAAATAATTAATTATTTTTAAAGTATTATTTAATTAATTTTAATTAGAACTCTAAAATTAAATCTAATGCTAAAATTAGAATTAGAAGAGGTAGTTTTAAATCCGTGTTTAACTTATTGGCAAACTCCCCTTCTTCTTCTAGAGCTGATGTGGTAAGCTCATTAATTCATTATTTTCAAGGCCTTTATAATCCCCCTACTCCCCCTAATGCGTCTCTCAATTGCATCCCCTCTGGGACTAAACTGCCGCAAGCTGATGCAATTCGCATTACATCCTATGTGATGGATGATGAAATAAAACATGCTGTTTTTTCGGGTAACACTAATTCTGCTCCAGGTCCTGATGGATTTAATTTCTATTTTTACAAATCATCCTGGCACATAGTTGGCCCTTTGGTTTGTAGGGCAGTTCACTCTTTTTTTCAGAAATGCTACATGCCGCATGGTGTTAAAGCAACTGCTCTGGCTATAATACCAAAACACAATAATGCATCTGAATTATCTGATTATAGACCTATTGCTCTATGTAATGTTCTTTATAAAATTATTGCAAAGGTCCTTGCGGAAAGATTAAAACCTGTTATGAATCATATTGTAATGGATAATCAAGCTGGCTTTCTAAAATCTAGAGTATCCACTGACAATATTTTGCTTGCTAATGATATTTTATCATATGCTGGTAAAAGCAAGGACAGTAATTATTTTTGTGCCAAGTTGGATATCAAAAAGGCCTTCGACTCTGTCAGTCGTGATTTCTTGCTTTCTAGGCTAGTGCAAAAAGGTTTCCCTCCTCTTTTTGTTAACTGGATCAAACTCTGTATCAAAGATGTTAGTTTTTCTATTCTGCTTAATGGTGCCATCGAGGGCTATTTTTCCACTTCTGCTGGTCTAAGACAGGGATGTCCTCTAAGTCCCTACCTTTTTTGCCTTGTCATGGATGCGTTTTCTAATCTTTTGGAGAATAGGGGATTTAAAGGCATTTCTTATGATAATTACACGATATCACACTTGTTATACGCTGATGACGTTTTAATTTTTGGGGAGGCCTCTGTTGATAATTGTAACAAATTGGCTAATATCCTTAGGGATTTCACTCTTTCTACGGGGTTACACATAAATTATGATAAGAGTGCCATCATGATACCCAAAAATCAGAGGAATGTCCAGGATATATGCCAAATTCTCTCCATACACAACATAGTCAACAAAAATCGTCCAGGCCGATATGTTAATGTCGGCTGCCTTAATTAAGAATCCTTACTTAGACTTTCTGTTTTAAGCTGATCGTCCCGGACGATATAAATATCGGCCAGGCCGATGTGGGCAAAAATAGAAATTCTAAGCCTCTCAAGTGTGTGTGTGAAGGGTTACTTAGTATCAGTCTCTTTGACCATTACAAGTAGACTCACGAGGTGAAAAATAAAATTACAGACCGACTCAACCCTAAACCTACGCAATCTTGAACTTGGCTTCTTCTTGATCGTCCGGTCTTCGATTCCTGAAAAGTTAGAAGCAACAAGTAGTCCAAGAGAAATGGTGTTTGTCAATCATCAAAACACAAGTTATGAAAAATAGATTTGCAACAGTTTGTAGGCCTAGAAATAAAGGCGGGCTTGACATTCCTTACATTAGTGCACTTCAATTTGCCTACAACTGTTCTGTGATTTTTAGGATGTATAATGTACACTCACCTCTTTCCAAATGGCTTTTATGTATCTACAAGTCTCCGTGGAAACCTCCTCCTGTTTTTGCATCCAAGCAATGGAAAACTATCTGCAACACTGTTGTGGGGGTCAAGCACTATTTTAAATTCAATATTACTAATACTGCCCCTATTTCCCTTATTTGGGATCACTGGTGCAATAACAATACTATCGGGGAGTATATGGGGGGTTCTTTTGTTGGCACTTGCCCTGATATCTCTTTGAACTATTTAATGTCTGGATCTCAGTGGAAATTTCCTCAGCTATTCCCACAAACTTTGAGAAATTTGATTGCAGGTTTCAATATAAAAGAAGGGGACAGCCACTGTTTGTTATGGAAAAATAGTAGTTCTTATAAGTTTAAGAATTACATAGAAGAATACTATTCTGACTATCAAACCTGTTCCTGGTATAAATCTGTTTGGGCTAAAAAAAGTATTATGAAACATTCGGTGTTTACTTGGATGGCTTTACTGGGTGCTCTCAAAACTGCGGATGCTCTTCTCATAAGGAATATTAGCGTCCCTGCTGTTTGCAATTTATGCCATGATTTCAATGAAACTGTTTCTCATTTATTCTTTGAATGTGATTATGCTTTTTCTGTTCTTATTACTGTAATACCTGGTCTTCAAGGTTTTCTCTTTAGGCCAACTATATTGCAGGTATTTGAGTGGATAAAAGGAAAATACAAAGGCTATAAGAAGATTAAAAATTTCTACTATATGATTATAAGTTGTATAATATATCACTTATGGAGGGAGAGGAACGGTAGAAGATTTGGCAACACTGCTAACTGTCATACTTCCCTGACTCTTACTGTTAGAAGAAATATTTCAGAGAAAATTGTAAAATGGAAAGATTCACTCGATTATTTGGAGCTACTGTAATAATTTGGGTTGCTGTGATGTTCTGTTTTGAAGTGCTGTTATGTTGGATCTGTCCCTATAAACGTCTAGACGCTGTGCGCTTGCACTGGAGCTTTACCTGGACAATGATGTAGCTCCCGATCTGGCCCCTTTGGATGGCCTATGGGCAACCAGGGGCCACAGTTCTACTAGTGCTTAAAATTACATTTCCTGAGTCCAGGCTCTGATAGGCTCGAGAGTTTTCTTTATTTTGGTGGATACTGCCTGGGAGATTTCTTCTTTTTTCAGGTGTGGCTGCTTGCTGCGGGAACACACGAATGCCAAGGCCGGATCTTTTGGAGCTGGAAGACCAGATATAATAGTTATTATGGAGCTGTAGCTGGTTTTTCATAAAGCTGATTGCTACAACAGTTGACATGTCTCTTCAATTTTTGTATCTATACCACAATTTTGGTGCTCTCTTTATTTGAGTTTTTGACTTGAGGTGGTATAGTTGGTGATTTTTTGCTTTTCCTCCCACATAAGGTTTTGATTTTGCTTATGATGGGAGTTATTACTTGTAATTTTATTTATTCCCTGTAACTTTTCTTCTATAATGAAATTTATGGGCTTGCGCCCTAATTTTTCCCAAAAAAAAAGTTTATTTTAAATTAATATAAAATAAATATTATTTCATACTCATATAAAATTTATTTTTTTCATCCGATCCCCATTTGTTAGTAGATTTTAACTTGATCGTTAGGTATTGTAATCCGATCGTCCTCAATTTCAAGAACAGATAAGTCACTTGTAATCTATCGAAACATTAGTGGAATCATTTCAGCTGGACGTGACCCCGTGGTTTTTCCCTTCAGAGTTTTCTATGTAAAAAATTCTAGTGTTTATTTTTCCTATGTTTATGTGCTGGAAACTAATGTAATGCTAAGGCGTAAGGTTTTTCGTACTTTACCGCAGTGAATACTCTAGCCCGCGATATGGTCAAATCTAGATTTTCTTTAGTTTCACGTTACAAATATGTTTTTATTATGATTAACGGGCTATTTGGGTTTCGTTTGGGACGGCTTTCTTAAAGTAGTTTTTTAATACAAAAAATAAATGAAGTCTTGGTTTATTGAGAAAGGATTGCATGGTAAAAGAAATGCAATCTAAAATAAATGCAATGCATTTGAAATATTTTTTAGTTATTTGAATGTGTGTAACATAAATGCAAATAATTTTTTTTTATTGTTTTGCTTAAAGTAAAATAAATGTAATATGAAGTTCAACAATTGTGGAGGACGATGACCGATGGCTGTGGTGGCGAGCGATGGGCGGTAGCGGTGGAGAATTTACAATGTATTTAAACATAAGCCAAACTTATCGAATTTCAACATTAAGCTAGATGGTGAAATCTAAAGAAGCAGAAAGAAAGCCATCCTATATGGTTGAACATGTTGTCTTAAAAAATATTATAATTATTTAAATATTATATAAATGTTATATTAATGATGTAATCATGTAAATATATAACAAAAATAACAATAACTATTTTATAAAATTTAAAATGTATAAATTTAAATTTAAACACCTTCTAAAATTAAGTGGCCAAACTCTTCAGACCATAACTAAAAATTTTATAATTTAGGATCTAAATTATTTATATCTAGATTAAATTTTACTCATTTAATTTAAGGTAAATGATAATAATGTGATCATAATTTATACTAAATAGTTCAATGAATCACAATCGGTCATCACTTCATTAATCAATCAATCAATCATCCTTTTTCCGTGATGCGTTGTGCATAGTAAAAATAGTTATAGGTTTCATTTGGGATATCTTTTTTGTTACTTTCTAAAGGGGGGGGTTGCTCATTCGCGTTCCTTTTTGGATGCTCTTGCTGGTTCTAAAACTCCTTTTCCAGATTTGCATGTTTCTACTTTTCGTGGCCTACCGTCTCTATGGATTTCCGATCAGGAAATCAACGAGCTTGCTGCCCCTTTTTAGTTATCTTCAGTTGGTTTTTTTCCCTCTAAAAGACCTCCTTTAGATGCTATTCATAATTTTTTTTTTCAATTTGAAGTTGAAAAATGAGGTTTCCGTTACTGTTTTGGATCATTCTCACATTTTGATCAAGCTATCTAATGATCTCGATTACTGTAGGGTTTTCTTTCACCGTTCTTACCTAGTTTTTAATTGCTTTATGAAATTAACCAAGTGGTCACCTACTTTGGATATTGGTGTTGAGTCGCCGGTGATACCTATATGGATTTCTTTTTCTCATCTTCGTCCTCACTTCTTCTCTCCTCGCATTCTCTTTGGACTTGGCGGGTTATTTGGGAAGCCCCTGAAAATAGACGAAGCGACTGCTGTTGGTTCACGTCCTTCAATTGCTCGTATTTTAGTTGAGCTTGATATAACTAAATCTTTTCCTAAGCAAGTTTGGTTAGGTTCGGAATATTTAGGTTATACTCAAGAGGTGGTTTTTGATGAGTTTCCTCAATTCTGTGCCGGCTGTAAATGTATTGGTCACTCTCAAGGCAATTGTCGACCTACTGTACTTGTGGTTCCAACGTCTTCTTCTCCTCCTAACGCTAATTTAGATGTTGGAAATGTTGAAAATGTTATTTCTCATACGGTTGTGGAGTCTTAAAATGCTATTGCTGTTTTTGCTCCCGAAGTTTTCTATTGTTGTTGAATCTCCGTCCGATACCCCTATTGTTGGTGGGGTTTCTGTTTCTTTGACGGAAGTTAATTATGAGGTTACTCCACCTGTTAGTGAATGCCGACCTATTACTGTTGCTGTGGAATCTGCTCCTAAAAATGATGAGCCTGGTTTGGTCTCTATTGAACAAGGTACGTTAAATGTGATTGATCGGGATTTGGTTGTCCTAGGTTTAGCTAGGGAGGAATTGGATGTGGGTGGATTTAATTCTATTGCTGTTACGAATGTTTTATCTCCAAATGCTTCACCCTTTTTTCCTCCTGTTTTGGTATCGGCTAATACTGTGGAGAATTTGATTCATGATATAGCTGAGGTTGTGATTCCTTAGTTCGGTGTTGAAGTTGCGTGCAATCCGGTGTTGGTGGAATTTTGAAAAATATTAGTTTCCTTCGGGAATATTAAAATTTAAGATTAATTCTAATTCTAAAGTCGAATCAACTCGGTAGAAAAAATATATCACACCGGAAGATGAAAATAAAATTTCATAACAGTGTTTAGACTTAGAATTTTGAAATTCATCTTGAATATCATGACCGGATTCTAGAAAGAACTTCATATAGCCCCGAGGGAACAAAGTGAAGTTCAACTCAATATCCAATTATAATATTCAAGAAGTACGATCGTCGAGTTCACATCCAAAGCCTTATCAAAGAAGGGTGTATCTCCCCAAAGGGAGATAACACCATTCAATAATAATCCTTCTAATGTACTAAAGACGATCATTTTTTAACTCTTTTCCAAAGAAATCTAATAAGATTTTAGAATAATTAATTTTAAAATCAGGTGCGTGTGTGGTTCCAAATCTCCTACGAGCGCAAGCCCCGTAGCTAATTATATCGTAGAGAGACAAAGTCCCCTACGAAAACTCTCGAATAAAATAGTGACGGAAATTTGTTAGATCTTCTAAGAGTGATATAAAAAAATGAATGAAGTTTGGAAAATCAAAAGGGAATGGATCAAGATTGAACAGTTATTAACAGAGTTAAGGGAAGAGAAGTAGAGGACACTTTGAGAGTCCAGAACCATCTGGAAGTGTCCCAACTTAATCTAAGTGTTCGGCTTTATGTTTTAGGATTGAAATGAAGCTTTAATTAGAGTTGAGAATTTTATTAGAAATTTAGGATTATATTCCCGAAATTTGGGGTCTTATAATAAAAAAATATGCCCCGGATCTTAAATCTAATTTGGACACTGAACCACAATCGTCCGAACCTAACTAATACAATGCAAGGTCTGGACTTACCCCGACCTGGATTGGGGAGCCAGCTAACCACCTAGTCGATTTAAAAGAGATGAGTCCGGTCTTTTATGAAAGAGTGATAGGGACATTTTATTTAAAGTTTTGGAAAGCTGTGGCCAACATCTAGAGATTTTCCTAATTGGCCCCTTTAACTTATGTTGGGTGCAAAATGCTAAGGACTAATACAATTAAATTTTGATTCTTTTAATTTGTCTATAATGCAATGCATGCTAGTTGACAGCTTCAAATCAAGTATGCTTGAAATTTTAAAAACAGGCTTAGAAAATAATTTTTTAGAAGACTGGGCTTCCCCAGGTCCGGCACCTCGTCCTCATAGGTCAAACTATCCGGACTCTACCCGCAGGCGGGGAAGGGTCTAAAACAAGGAGAGAGTAGTGCAGAAATATGCATGCGACCCCGAGGTCGAGCCGACTCGAAATCGGCTGATTAATGAGCTTGTGAGTTGAGCTTATTGGGTAGAGCTCTCGAGCCTGAATTAGAATGCTCGAGCCAAGTTCAAACTATTTGGGCTTGGCTAGAGCTTGAGTTCGAGCTGTTTATTTGAGTGATGAGTTGAGCTTCAATTTGTTGTGACTGGAGCTCAACTCGATTTGTTTGCACTCGCCTAAGGCTCTAAGAAAATCATAGACGAAAACCAATACAAGCTAAATTATAGACGTCGGTATGTCATCAAGAAATTATCTTGATCTGGCATGAATCTCAATGCAAATCTAAATGGTAAATTTGAGATCATTCAAACTCCGATTTCAAAAGCTTATAGTCAAATTGAACATCTCAAGGAGATGAATCCAACAACATCAAATTCAATCCAAGTCCAAATGAGTCTAAATCAAATGACAAAAGCTATTTGAAAACTTCAAAGCATTATTGGACAACCAAATATATTCAAATATAAAATGCTTATAGTTGAATTGTAATAACATGTATATTGACTTTTCCAAATATTTTTTTGGAGTCATTATAACTCCAAATCGCAAACCGTCTTCGCTATATCATTTAGATTATAATATTTTAATTACATGAATTTTTTTCATAATTTCTGGGCACTAGCGAAAATCCTTAAGAATTTAGTATCTCTCAGTGTATGTGAGAATTTTGGGACCGTTAAGTATCAGTTTTGCAAATTGATTTCATATTTTTTAAATAAAATGATTTCTTTTAAAGATATTTTTTATAATTTTCAAAGTCTTAAAAAGTTTTATTTGAATTTTATACTAAAAAAATTATTATATTAAATATTATATTATTATTTAAATTCTAAATATCTAATACCACTGTATTGATTTCCTCATTTTTTATTTTTACTTTTTTTTTTCATTTCTCACGCCAAAGAGCTGCTTATGGAATTTTTCGCTTGATTTTGCCTCGAGATTCGTGCTTGATCAATATAATTTTTTGATGCTATATCAAAATCAAATATTAATATTTTCAACAACCCAACATTTAAATTTTTTTCACTCTTTTATTTTAAATCAAACGGCCCTAAATGTTGATTTCATTTTCTTCTTCACATAAAAAAAAAAGAACTACAGTTAAAAAAAAGATCTTCGGCGTTGTTTAATTAAAATCTTAAAAGGCCATGAAAAGTCTTGGTACGAAGGTTAGGAACTTTTATTATATCAAGTGAATGTACGTAGAGGAATCTTCGGTTTTAGGCAGAAAAGTGCCTGTACCGAGTTTTTTCAAAAAACTCGGTACACCTCGGTACTCGGTACAGACGCTTTTTTTTCTAAAACCGAACGTTCCTTTGCGTACACTGGATAAAATAAAAGTTCCGAAGGTTAGACCCTTTTCTCTCGCTCCTAGCCGCCCAATCGTCAAAGTAATAATATCAAAATTACTAATCTACCCCTGTTACTAAATTCCACCCCAATTCACTGTAACCCGCCTGATTCACATCCAACCGTAGCTATTAAAATGACAAAAAATCGGGTGAAGATAGCCTTAGAATTCATATGTTACAATTTGCCCATCATTTCGTTAGACAAATTAGCAGATCAGGGGTATTATAGTCATAAAGGCATAATAAAGCAATAAAGCTGTTGTCGTCGTAAATTCATATTAGACCCCCTGGACGCCGCTTCCTTGCATTTGGATTAGTAGCTGCTTTGTTTTACCCTCAAAGGTGACAATTTTATTTATTTATTTTCTTGATTGTCATGTTTTTAATCTTCCAGATTTTGCAAATTGAGATTTTTCTTTGCCAAATGATTTATCTTTGCATTTTATTGTTAAACCCTAGACCTTGAATCACTCTGTTTGTTTTGTTATTTTCTAACTTGTATTGATTTTGTTATAGTTTTTCTTAGTTGTACTCGTCTTTGAAGAATATTTGTGGGAGAAGATTTGCGGGAGAAGAGTAGGCGATGGGTTTCTTTCGAAGTGTCACTGCGATCTCGAAGCTCCGGTCTCGCCTTGTAAGCAATTATAATTTTGGGGTGTTCTTTGTTTTTTTTTTTTTAATGTTGTCTATGCGCTGAGGTGAACTGATGGGTTTGGTCTTGTGATATTTGTTTGAAATGCTGTTGTTCAGATTCAAAGCTCTAATTCGTTGGGCTCTGTACGATGGCTTCAGGTGCAGAGTTCTGATCAGGTGAATTTCTTTTTTTATTATTTGTTTAGAATCTTGCTGTAATTGACTAAATGATGCCTTTTGGTGCTTGTTTGATCCACGGTTGAACATTTTCTTCTTAGTTTATATCATGCATTCCATTTAATGTGGTATATTGTGCAGGATCTGCGTTCTCAACTAGCGGAGCTGATACCAGAACAGCAAGTATGTAATTCTGTTTGGTTGTTTTTTTTATTAAATGATTTTCTCATTGTTTCTTCTTTTAAAAATTAGTTTCCTTTCTAACCAGATTTCGCAAGCTTAGTGGCAGTTCATTATTATTATTTTTTGATTTAAGAATAATACAGAGGTGATTTGTTCCTTATGTTTTTTGCTTTACCGTAAATCCAAAAAGTTTGAATCTTCGCCCTTTCAAGCTATGAATTGCACTTTACATCTTCTTGAAAAGGAAAAAAAATCCCCTTCAAGACTTTTTCTTGTCAGTATGAACTGGTTAATTGTTTTAAATTTGTTTTCGAAAGTGCTAATAGTATTCTAAATTCTGTATTACTTTTTTTGTCCAGGAGCGGCTGAAAAAGCTAAAAACTGATCATGGTAAAACTCAACTGGGGAACATCACGGTTGATATGGTAAATATTAATAGTTCTGTTTTGCAGTATGTTTGCATGTTTTGTTGATGTTTTCTATCAAACTACAATACTTCACAAATCAGAATTATGTAAAGGATTTCTGATTGGCTTTCTACAGGTGATCGGTGGAATGCGAGGAATGACTGGTTTGCTATGGGAAACATCATTACTAGACCCAGAAGAGGTGGAATTCACTCTCTTTCCCCCTATCTCACTCTCACACACCCTCACATGCCGTCTTGTTTTGAATAGCTTGGGTTTCATAAGAACTTTATTGATAAGGGTATTCCACATTGGAAGGAAATTGCAAGCTTTCTTATTATGAATACTTTATTTTTCAGGGTATTCGCTTTAGGGGGCTTTCTATTCCTGAATGCCAAAATGTGCTGCCTGCTGCACATCCTGGAGGAGAGCCACTACCTGAAGGTCTTTTGTGGCTTCTTTTGACTGGGAAGGTGATTATTCTGCTTTATTTTAAGTATGTTTCAACTCATGGCTTGAAATGCTGGTTTTTTTTCTTGTGAAATGCCCGTCATTATAAGTGTAATATTTTCTTAGTTGGTTAAATGAGGCTGATGACCATGCCTTCTCAACCTACAACAAATATTCATGAATTTTGAAGGCTTCGACGATGCTGTCATAAAATTATACCCTTTTGCCAACAATAGCTTTGGATATCACCTACTTACATGAACTTCTTTTTTGTTTTTTTAACAAATGATTCTTTGGAGCTTTGATCTAGAGCTTGTTTGGGGTTGTGCTAGCAACATTGGAGGCTTTTGTGTCCATAAACCTTATTCACCGTGCATCAAGTGGTATGACTGTTGGATTTACGACAACCATTATATAAATACGAATATGAAAAAAAAAAGGATATAGAAGATTAAATTGAGATTTTCTCAATATCAATTTATTTAAAACTAATTATTTACAAAGAAAAAAATTATTTAAATATTTATTGAGCTCAAGTCTTTTTCTTCTAATAATCTTATTAAATATATTGAAGTGAGTGGGCACCTTCAATTAAATATTGATAAACAGTATTTCTGTTGAATTCAATTTGTGTTCTCAGCACAAAATTATTTGGAATCCAACTCGTGTTCTCAATGCAATTTTATTCCTCAAATTAAAAAAACTTAGAGAATGATTCTCTCCCTTATTATCTCTTTTAAAACTTGAATCATCCTTTTATAAGAGAAGTTCAAATCTTTTCAATTTGTTATTATTGGATTTTTGACATATATTAGATAAATATGGAAACGAAAAATTGGATATAGAAAAATAAATTTTGATTTTCTTTTTAAATCATAAAAGCACAAGAACAATAATAAGCATTTATCCCACTACATGGTGTCAGCTACATGAATCCCTTAAGAGCTAAATTTTAATTTTAATTTAATGAAAAAAAATTATTTCTAATACTTTCTAGCTCTTTTTAAGTCTATCTCTACCTTACTTAACATAGACCAGATATAATATATATACTCTTCTAATAGGGTCATCGGAAGGACAAGATTTATTTGATTAAACAATCTAAGGTGACTCTCTTTAATCTTATCTGCAACTTGAGCTACTCCTACTTTTTCATGTATTAAAAGCACTAATTAATATTATTTTGACTCCACCTTTTTTAAGTAATCCAAATTCCTTCTACTCCTATTTGGTGGATTCTTTGGTTACAAAATGCTTGGATGATCCCCACCTCATGTCCGAATTGCTCTACTGTTTTGCTTTGGTTCAGTTAGTGAGCTGTGTCATTTTGCCTTAACTTCTAAGCAAACAACTAGAGTATATATCCATTTAAGAAGAAAAATAATGGCCTTAGAAGAAGAGAAGAAGAATCATAATTATGTAACGCCCTTCTATCCTATTATATTTACGATTATGAAGAATTCTAAGTGATATCCTTAAAGCCTATGATAAGAATTTATCCATTGTATCTATTTCTTTAACACCAAAGTAGGTATACTAATCCAAGGATTCTGAAATATTATGACTTTTTTTTTTTGTTAAATAAGCTATTAGCATGATATTTCTTGAACATGATGTCTCGTATGTTTGCTAAATCTATGAACTTGAGAAAGAATTTAAGTCGCAAAATTCTTTGAAATTTAGAATTGCTGATCCAATTTCTTTTCTACATGTTAATCACAAGGATTCTATGAACATAAACAAGTGAATACTCCTTGAGTTAGCTTGATGCATAATTTATAAGGATGCTTTACATACAAGGCACATCATTGTTGTGCATGCAGTAGGAGACTTTATCTCCCATATGTTATTTAATATTGGTGGTAGGCTGCAAATGAATTGAGTGTTCGATGAGCTTCTTGTGGCTCGACTCGATAAGGGCTCGTTCATAGTTGTCAATGGTGCAAAATAGCGCGCGCCATGGCGCATGGCGTGCTGCACCTACGGTGTCATGTTCATTGCGAGGCGCATTTATTTAAAATAGCGCGCACTATTTGCGCCACATGTGAGCCATGACGCATGGCGCACGGCGCAAAATAGCGCGTCAAATTATTTAAATGTGACATCCACCTCTTAAAAAAAAAATGCTCGGTCCCGCTAGGTACATGCTCGGCACTGCTATGTACATGCTCACCGCTATGTACATACTCGGTACCGCTATGTACATGCTTGATACCGCTTGGTATCTTTCCATACAAACGGCTTACGAACTTTAAAAATAAACATAACTTCAAAATTACTCTTTAAAAAAAAAAAGGTCGAACACCGCTAGGGGGCAGCGCCCCCTTGGACCCCTGGCAGCCCCGTATATTGTTGTATTCATCATCTTTAGTAATGGTTGTTAGTGTTAGTTTGCTTCTTCATGAGTGCATGCTTTGTATAAGTTTTCTTCATGAGTGCATGCTTTGATTGAGAGACATTGGACTCTATAGGAGAGGAGGAAGGGGCGAGGACTTTAAATGTGAATTCTTGTCTCTTGGACAATATTGTTGTGAAATGTAAAGTTTGCATCATGTTGGACAATATTATTTCATATTCATGTTTATTATTTTATAATTATTATATAGTTTGCACCATGTTCAAAATGGCGCGTGCTGCGCCGTGCACTATGCGCCATGGCTCCAAAGGGACCTTTGCGCCATGGTGCGCCATTCGCCGTTAACATATATGGGCTCATTCATGTTCATTTGATAAGGTTAACAAATGAGTTTGAACACACTGCATAAATTTATAGCTAAATGAACGAGCTTGAACAACATCTTGTTCGGTTCATTTATGTTCAAAAACAGTCTCGCTTAGAAGATCGTGAACAAGCTCGCTAGAAGCTCGACTAAGAAGATAGATTATAGCTCAATTAGAGTTTTAAAAATAAATACAATTTAGTCTACTAATTTAATATTTTGAGATTTAACCATTTTTATTTTTTATTTTTATTAATCTAACTAATTAGAAATATTATATTAAATCTTTTATTAAAATTTCCTCTCCATTATATCTTATATTTTATTACATCTTTTATTCTCCCACCTCAATTCCCGTCCTCTCTGTCTGTATATTTCGCAATTTTGAAATTCCCGCTTGCCTCTCTCTCTTCTTCGTGGCATCAACAAATTAAAAAAAAAAATTTGTAGGCAATTTTGTCCCGCACCGCTTAGAGGAGAATGCTTATGCTATATGAAAACAAATTCATCTGATGACTTGATAAAAAGCGGGCAGTTGACAGGGTGGGTTGTCTGGGCAAATTGTTTAACGAGCTGTTTGGTTGGTTTAAGGAGATGCTCGGTAAGCTTAAAATTAAATGAGCTCGAATTTGAACTCGAGCCGAGCTTGAATGTGCTTTTTGTAGACAAGCTCGAGCTCGAACAGGTGTCCAAGAAGCTCGACAAGCTTCGAGCCGAGCTTGAGCTCGATTCTGACAAACAAACCTGAACTCGAACAGGCTAAAACTCGGCTCGGCTCGGTTCGTATGCAGCCCTAATTGGTGGGTGCTTATAGCTGTTATTATTATATTTTTCTAATAGTTTTTGGCTCAACCTTCCAAAACTGATGGTGTACTTGTCGATAATGAGTATAAGCACTAGTTATCTAAATCAATAAACATTGATCCTCTTGTCTGATTTGTTAAAGTTGACCCTGTTAAATTATGCAAATGTCCCTTGATTTTTCCCCATTATTATCAGCTTGATAGAGAGGCAGAAGAGTTAGCAAGGGGAAGAGTCATTAGCTTATTAGAGTGAGAGAAAGAGTGGGAAGACAAGAAATGAAGGTGAGGGGACAGCAAGAGAAAATGTCATGGGACAACAAGAGAAAAGAGTCTGAGGGTGATAAAGGGAATGAAATAGAGAAAGTAACCAGAAAAAGTGATGAATGTCGATTCTAGAAAAAGAAGCATATGTTAGCGCACAATAAGCTTGTACATATTCCTTAACAATGTGATGTGGAAGTCCACCATACAAATGAGAATATTTCAATATTTTGGGCATTGGCCGTTTCATAAAACATTATAAAAAATATTTCAAACATGGCAAGGGATAAAGGAGAATATAAAAGAAGGTAAAACAGAGGAAGCTATCACTTCATAACAATCTTATCGTCATATGGCCAGTTCACTATATTAATAGGAGTAGAACACTATTCTCAACATAAAACATAATATAATAGAATCATTGATAGGATTATGGGAAATTTTTACAATAGGATCATTAAAAAGGAAATTAAAGAGCTCATGTTGTGAATGATCTATCAGTTATGCGCTTAAGAAACCATCACACCACTTCTTCAGCGAAACAAGGAAATGTGCTGACTGCGATTATTAATCACTTATAACTAACCCTTGTACAGGCCACCTGAGGGCCACTTAAGCATTCGGGAGATTGGGAAACTCCTTTTAGTTAATAATAACGTCATCCAATTATTCCTAACCTTATTAATTATGATGGGATAACTCCACCCAATAACCTTATTTGGTCAACCATAAATTACTACTTCACCTATTGGCATATTCTCTTTATGGTTGATATTTTCTTTCTGATTTTCTCTCCATTGCCATTTTCTCTATGGTGCTTTCTCCTTGTTTGTGATTACTGGGCAAAAAAAAAAAAAAAGAGGAGTTCATAGTGCTTCATTTGTATCCTTGCCTTTATTTTCCTTTATTGAAGCTATTTAAGCTGGCATTACCTAATTTAATTCAGTGTTTTTATGCCAGATATCGTACGTGTACTTTATTAGGTTGGATGTTTGAAAAGGAGTATTGTTAACTATGTTTCCATTATTGAGCAGAGTAATTTGTCGTCATTTTTTGTTAGTTCAAAAAATTGCTAACTTGATTTAGTTTAGCCATTTTTAGTGAATGTTCATCTTATTAAGTTGGCGGTTGGCCTATATATTCTTATATCAGCTGGTTAAAAGTATACTTTTTTTCGTTTAAAGCACTGTTTTTAGTGCTAAACCACATCACAGTAGATTTCTTAGTATGGCTTAAAAATGAAAAGCTAGTTCAGCTTAATTAATTTTAAGACTTCCTACTTGGTGGAGATAGAATCGATGGTAAAGGCATATGATGTAAAGGAGCAAAACTAAGTTAGCAGTTACAGAACAAGTTAGTACACGCACATATAAAGAATTAATGGGGCGAAAGGCTTTAAAATGCCTATCATCAAATAGTTGGGTGAGGCAGTAGCCTTAATTAATGAATGTTGTTGCATTCCTGCATACTTGTGCTAGATTATAGTGATATGCTTGGCCATTGGTTACTGTGGTTCAGGCAGTGACGTGTTGTGAGATTGCATTCTTTTCTTCGAATTTTCAAGTAATATATGTTTGAATCTATGATTCAATTTTGCGTTTCTGCATTTGTTTAGATCAAAATTTTTTAGAGATGACAGGGAAAATCAGGTCGTGCTGCTTTATATGGCTATTCTGATTTGTAGTACATGTCCACCTTCAGGTGCCAAGCAAAGAGCAAGTTGATGCCTTATCTAAGGAGTTGCATATCCGCTCAACTGTACCAGGTTTTTGCATTTAACCATTTTTTGTTCTTTTATTGAAGCTAGTTACTGAATTTCTGGACAGCAATTCATGATTAAACGTGGATTTATTTCTCGGTGCATCTAATCTTAGTCTGAGGGAAGTAAAATTATTTAACCAAGTCTTTGTCAATGTCTGGCATGTGGTTCTTTGGTGACCACTTGTAATTACAAAATCCACACATTAATATAAAGATAATCACAATTGTGTATACATGTTCTATATAGGCACTAATCAGTGTTTAGGTGTTCATGGCATGTCCTGTTTTCAGTGATTTTTGTTGGCATAGATGTGATTCCTTGATAAGTATTGACAATGAAGTTATTTCACAGATTCAAAAATGAATTATAAAGAAAAAGTAGAATGTGGGGAAGGATGGGAATTGCTTTTTATTGTTGTGAATGGCTGTTTCACCATCCATTTGATCTGATTACTGGTTTATGTGTAAGGAGAGGGTTGAGATAACTCTAGAAAAGCATGTGCCTCTTCTCTCTCCTGTTTCAGAGTCACCATTTTGGATAGACTCTGGCCAATTCCTCATTGTTGACTCTCTTTGGTAGTGTGGCATGCTACAAAGGCGGGATAGGGTAGCTAATATTCATGTTTCTTCCTCTACTCTCTACATGCTGTGCATGTTTTTCTATTATTGTTTAGCAATATTTATGGTGCCAAATGTTGGCCATTAAAAGAGAAGCATAATACTAAGTTAAGTATTGCAGAGATGAGGATGCTCAGGTGGATGAGTGGCTTTACCCTTAGAGATAGGCTACGAAATGAATATATATGTGAAAAGGTTTGAGTAGCTCTAGTGGAAGATAAGATTAGAGAGAGGCGCCTTAGATGGTTTGGTCACATTAAACGGAGGCCTTCCGATGCCCCGGTTAAGAAAGTTGAGGTATTAGATTTAACTTATGTGTTAAGAAATGTAGAGGTAGACTTAAAAAGACCTGGTTAGAAAAATTTAGACATGATATTTCTTTATTAGATTTAAACGAGAATTTGACTTTTAACAGGACGCAATGGAGAAAAAAGATTCAAATAGCCGACCACACATAGTGGGACAAAGGCTTAATGTTGTTGTTGTTTGTTTAGCAATATTTATGTTTCGTTGCATCACATGCATTTGTGATGCACACTTGCCATTTTAGTGTCAGTATTTGAGTTGTTGACTTTAGGCGCAAAAATGACTATGATTCTATAGTATATTGATGTGAATAAAAATAATAATAAACACTTTTTTTTCCTAGAATTGTTTTCAGAGTATGAATACATGCAAAGGTGTTCATTGGTATATTTGAAACGTTTTTTTTTTTTTGGCTGAAGATCATGTTTACAGAGCAATTGATTCCCTCCCATTGTCTGCCCATCCAATGACTCAATTTACAACTGGTGTTATGGCTCTTCAGGTTGGGCGCTGTCTCAAAATCTCTTTGTTATCTAGAATTTAGCTCTGCAGATACCACAAAATTTACCCCACCTGTGGTATGCTTTTTTATGAACCATCTGCATGTTCATTGCAGGTTCAGAGTGAATTCCAGAAGGCATATGAAAATGGACTTTCTAAAGCGAAGTGAGTCCCTTACTCCCTTTTCTGTACCTGTCAACTGCTTGTGCACTGTGTTATTTTCATGTAGTAGCTAAGTATTTGGTTGTGTAGGTTCTGGGAGCCTACATATGAAGATTCTCTGAATTTAATTGCTCAGCTTCCACTGGTGGCATCTTATATATATCGGAGGTAATTTTATATGTGGTGAATGAGTATTTATTTTAATCTGAATTTGGTCTGTCTATTATAAAATATTCAACCTTTCGCGCTCATGAATACTGACTAACATGGGGAAGATGAGCATAAATAATGAGTTTCTAACCATTCTTGCTATAAGAAATCTTATTCCAGAATTTTATATGTTGCTTATTTACTGTTTCTTGAAGGCTGTATAAAAATGGGCAAGTCATACCTGCTGACAATTCTCTGGATTATGGTGCAAACTTTTCTCGCATGCTTGGATTTGATGATCCAAAAATGCAGGAGTTGATGAGGCTTTATGTCACGATCCACAGGTTTGTAACAGATTGTGATATTTTATAATACTTTGTTTTGGACGCTTAAACCTTTGAAATGTTCGTTTTGTAGAACTGATTCTGCAAATTTTGTTATTGAGATTTTACTTCAAATATTCTTTTACAGTGATCATGAAGGAGGAAATGTGAGTGCTCACACTGCTCATCTAGTAAGTGTACTGCCGTTTTTTGGTTTCTGATGTCCATCTTTTCTATATTTTTAAATGATTGTCATAAACTAGCAGAGATAAAGCTTGCATTAGAAGGTCCATATCCATTAGTTCCTTTTGTATAATCACGTGCATATGAATGTTTTCCTATATTAGTTTGTTCTGCTAATTTACTTATTCAAAAACTACCATAGATTCCTTTGTGTGGCATTTTAGGTGCTGAAGATGTAAAGGATGACCTTGTTTACTAATTAATCTACTATATTTCAGGTTGCAAGTGCACTTTCTGATCCTTATCTTTCCTTTGGAGCTGCACTTAATGGACTTGCTGGACCTCTTCATGGCTTGGCTAATCAGGTAGCTAGCCTTTCTGGTGTGAAATCTTTGGTGTTTTTTTCTGTAGATGTGTGTATTTTTTTTTTGCATCAATAATGTTCAGTAGTTAAATTCCTTTGCCCACAGATAGATACTTTGGGTAATGTGATCAATATATGACCAGGGAGCATGATGTTAAAATTATAGGGGTAAATTATGGACGTTTTCTTCTTAATTACTAGGGGTGTCAATTTCGGGTCACGGGTCGGGTTTGGGTCGAACCCGAACTGACCTGGGTGGAAAACGGGTCGACCCTAACCCGACCCGGGTAGAGAAACGGGTCGAAAATCTGAACGGTCCAACCCGGATTTTCCGGGTCGGGTCCGGGTCGGGTTTTCGTGTCGTGTCAAATATTGACACCCCTGTTAATTACTACAAATTTTGCTAAATAAATTGAGGCTTATTTAGTGATATAAAGAGAATTTCCGGAAATAAAATTTATTTCCAACATCATGGGGTGAAACCTGTCACACTGGAACACATAGCTTAGGAATGGTGCAAAGTTGGTTTATAGAAAAGTGTGATGCTCATAATGTATTTCTTACTTACGATTTCTTTATTCATTACTAGTTTTGCAATTTGGTTTGCTAAGGTTTGAACCTTAGATCTCTACTTTAAAGGTCAAAGACAGTACTAAACCGTTTAATAGTTGGTATAATCGAATTTTATTAAATAATATGAGTGCATATTTAGTGATATAAATTTTTTCTCCTGATGCAAAAATTATTTCTAACCACCTGAAGGGAAATCTGTTGATTAGAACACGTTACTTCGAGATGATGTAAATTGGTTTTTGGAGAAAAATTGTGATACTTAAAATTTACTTTTTTGTTGCATTTTTTTTATGGATCACCTATTCTGTACTTCATTTTTCAGGAAGTACTGCTGTGGATCAAATCTGTTGTTGATGAGTGTGGCGAAAACATAACAGCTGAGCAGTTGAAGGAGTATGTTTGGAAAACATTAAAAAGTGGAAAGGTCAGACATTTTACTCTTTGGAGGATCGCTATGACTATGACTTTGTGCTTAGCATGTTTTTCTAATAGAAAACATATGAAATTCTGGAATAATAAGTATATTAGTCTATAGATTGTGACGTGACCAAATTGTAATTTTTATTAGATCATTGTAAAACATAATTATCATTGAAATACGTAATTAAGATTGGATCTTCTTTTACATAATTTGATGGCAAAATCTCAACATGAAGCTTAAATTTAGTCTATCTAAAGTAACTCCCTTGTTCCATGACCAAACTATAACATCTATGAATTCTTTACAAAACATAAATTGCTTAATCTTAAGAACCTTCAGCTTTAGCTTAACCACATGGGAATCGATCTAAATTAAAGTTTTATGTTGACGAACTAGTTAATCATGTATTGCACCCAAATTACAATCTTAGTATATTTATCGCAGGACAATAAAATCCCCAATTAAGTTGGATAGATTTTTTCTTTTCTTAAGTCCAAGAAAGAGACAAAAAAAAAGGAGGAAAACATAGATTCTGTGAGTTCTCTCGCCAGATGTTTAACATTATGCAAACCCTTGCTATGGCCGAATTTGGAAGAAAATTGAGAGGGTTTAGGACATCAATTACCTCCTTGGATGCTCAAGCGTGCTTCCAGCTATGCCTTCGCTCTCTCTCTTTATCTTACACACATGCACTTGCTTGGCTGCTCTCATTCTCTCAGTTTTCTTTCACCCTCTCTCTCTCTCTCTCTCTCTCTCTCTCTCTCTCTCCTCTATCTATCTGGCTTGCAATAGTTAACCCTTTTGATTCTTTTATCTCTCTGGCTTGCAATATTTATAATTTTGTTTTGTCTTTTTAATGTACGATCATTCACATTAAGTGAGAAGGGGAAAGTAGGTGTTACACCCTATTTTAATTTGATTTGACTCTGACACCAATTTCTTGATTTATGCATGTCATCCTTGTGCAGGGGCCATGCTAATCTTCTCTCTGTATTGTTCCAATTTTATCATCTCGAGAAATTGGTATCAGAGCCAAATTAAATAAAAATGGGGTGTGACAGCAGGCGAGTGGTAAAATAAAATAGGCATCACATAAATTACATCCTTGGTTGCCTACTGCTTTATGACAAATGGTGGGCTGCAAGGTTTAAAATTGCGTATTCGGGTATTGAGGCGTTTTTCGTTCGTGAGGCGAGGCGTAAGCCTCAAGGCGATTTGAGGCGTAAGCCTTAAAATCAAAAAATTGCGTAAACATAAAATAATAAATTTTGTATATACTAATGAGTAAATAATATATAAAACATAAAAATGCACAAGATAAATAGCAATGACATTAACATATCACATAAGAAGTTAGGAACTCACTAGTCATTAGCATTATCATCACTCATCAGTCATCACTAAGGGGGTCTTCATTTGAATCATCATTATGATGAGCTGCTCTCTCCTCTTCCCCCTCTCCTATAGAGTCCAATATCTCCCAATCAGCTTCTTCTTCCTCATTATTAGTTATCTTCCTCTTCCCTAAATAGTAAAAATTTTTGAACAATATCATAATGAATAATAGTGTAATACATTAATAAAAGTCTAAGAAAAGAAAACTATATTATTTATATACCTTTTTTGATTTGTTCTTGAGTTGTGATGGATGTGGATGCTTTAAGACCATCAAAGAAATCAACATTTAAATCTTCATCTTATAATTCAGACGGCATCACTTCAACTTCATCATCTACAAACCACTCATCATCAGATGCCACATCATCGCAAAGCAAAGGATCTTCATCATCCATTAATCCTTTTTTCTTCAAATTTATATCTCTGAGTCTCCTATTATACATAATGTACACCAGTGAGTTCATCCTCAATGTCGACAAGCGATTTCTCCTCTTTGTATGCACTTGGTTGTAGGTACTCCAATTCCTTTCACAGCCAGATGAAGAGCATGTCAAGCCCAAAACTTTCACAGCAAAACGTTGTAATTCTGGAGTCCCATCACCAAATTGAATCCACCACTCAACTGGAGATCGTTTGGCAATTGTATCTTTTGCTTGTTGTAATCCAAAAAAACCTTCTTTGTTCCTAAAAGGTACCAATTGCAAGTCAGCATTTGATCTTTCAGTTGCATCACTTATTAGACGATCCATGCAATGATATAATCCCAACTTTATTTCAGGGTTTGTAGACTTGTTCTCTGCATATTGATACTGAGGGTTTAGGTAGTAGCCAGCGGCATGCAAGTGTCGGTGAAGCTGTAGTTCCCACCTATCATCAATAATATTCCAAATTTCCCTAAAGCTTCCCTCACTGCCTCCTAAGTTGGAGGCAATCATCTCTTTGGCTTCATCCATAGCATTGTAGATGAAACCCATTGCAGGCTTCTTCTCAGCATCCACCATCCTTAAAACATGAACCAAAGGTCTAGTGGTTGTAATGGCATATAAGACACTTTGCCAAAATCTGTCATTTAAAACAATCTTTCTAATCTCTTTTCCCTCAGCCTTCTTCGCCCAAGCACAACTCAACCACTGTGTAGATGTGAACATAGCCTCTAAAGGTTGTCTGGCATCCAGCATGCTCTCTAAGGTCAAGTATGCGGTGGCAAATCTTGTTGCGGCTGGCCTTAGAATTTCTTTCTTCGAAAACTTTCTCATAAGAGCTAGAATCCAAGAGTGGTTGTAAATAAACTTGGTTATTTTTTTGGCTTTAGTGAGTGCATTTTTATGTTGAGGTAGATCCCCACTAAGTAAGCAACGTGTACGCATTGTGTACGCACAAAAGACGCATTGAGTACGCACAGCCTACGCATATTTACTCTATGGTTAAAATTTGGTTAGGTTTTATGTTTCAAATCTCAACATAAATTTATCATATAAACCTGAATACAGAGAAAACACGATGGCATCACAGTATCAAACATTTAAAAAGTTCGAGAAGCCATGCATACGCATAGAATAAGCATAAAATCGGAAGATCTTCAGACCCTTCAACGCGAACGCATAGCATAACCACAAAATACGCAATACGAAACAGAAAACATAGCATTAAGTTACCTTTTTCTTTGGGGGTGACGCCATCTTAGAAGAAACTGAGTGAAGAATGCTTGAAATTCCTCCGAGTGAATGCTTGAAAGTTCGAAAGTTTACTGTAACTTGAAAATCGAAACGTCGACTCCGCCATTCGACCTTTATAAGGGTTTAAATGTTGATGCCACGTCGACATTTCACTAGGCGCGCCACGTCGGCAACTGGGGGTCCGAACTGAAAAAAAAAATAAATTAGGTTAAATTTTAAAAAGGCGACGCCTTAAATATATGAGGCGAGGCGCGCCTTATGGCGCGCCTCAGTAAACTTGAGGCGTAAGCCTCATTAACTAAACTTATTGCGTAGGCTTTGAGGCTTAATTGGTCGAAAATGCGCTGAGGCGCGCCTCAAGGCGCGCCTTTTATTGCGCAATTTTAAACGTTTGTGGGCTGTGATATCCAATGCAACCAAGGATATTTTTGAAGTAGAAGATGCCCATCATGGAAATTGCTTATTCATACTATGCACCTCCAGCATTTCCCCAGTTGCCAGTTTTCAGCCAAGAATGGCTTTTGTACCAACATGCTTGTTATTTACACTATCTGCAGCTAAATTACTGTGACTTGGTTGAGTCTAAGCTCAAACTGATAACTTCTAAACGGATTGCTATAATGAGTGTTAAAGGAGTCAGAGATATGGTTGTTCTTTTGGGTTGACAATTTCATGTGTGCAGCTGAAATATACTGGTCTATGGCATATTTTTAATTGATTGATTGGTGCCAACCCATTGTTAATTGAATAGATAGAGTGTTGAGCTAATTCAAACAACCAAACCATTATGTATACCCTCCAAAGGATGATTTGAAGACTGGCTTTATTTTCCAACTAGATGATTTCCCAAATTCTGTCCTTTCCATTTCAATTTCTGCTTACCTCCATGTCTACTTCCTCCAAATCTTCCTTTTTCACTTCCATTTCATCATATTTTTGTCCTTCTCCACCTTTTATAGTTCCAACCTCTATCCCTCCCATTTTGACTGACAGCAACCTCTTATGCCATTGAAGTCACGATGATCTTTTTTCTTCTATCCCTTTTTGCTTTCTTCCTTCTTCACTTACTCCGTGTACCTCCAACCTCTGTCCTCCCCCGCCCACTGAGACGTATAATAACCTTGTTCCTTTTCAAGCCACACTGATTCCTCCATAAAAAAATTTCCCCATCTTGGTTAGCTGATGTATGCAGTCCTTCAGAAATTAGTGCGTTATCTCATTTGGGTCAGCTTTTTTTCTTCAGAAACTTTGTCCTTCGTAGACTTCTTTCTTTCTAGCTAGGTACAGCAAGATTCGGATAAATGGTAGGTCAAGCCCCAAACATGATTTATTGCTTGTCCTTCTGTGTCTGCGCTGCCTTAAAGAAGGCTGTGGCTTTAAAAAAACATTGAGATTTTTTCTCTTTTGGATTTTAAATCTCTAACATTTAATGTTTAATTTTTGGTGGTTTCTATAATTAATGTTGAGTTGATTAATTGAAGTATAATTGCAATGTTCTTGTTAACACCACCATAGGTCTGTATTGTTCTCTAACTGTTTGTATAGGTTGTGCCTGGTTACGGTCATGGAGTACTCCGTAAAACAGATCCAAGATACACATGTCAAAGGGAGTTTGCATTGAAACATTTACCGGATGATCCACTATTCCAGCTGGTGCTTTTCTTTAACCAAGATTTATTTTGTGCATCTATGAACTGAACTGCGTTATCTGGCTTTGTGATTGTTTTGAGCTTATTGTGATTCTTCTTTCTGCAGGTCTCTAAGCTGTATGAAGTTGTTCCTCCTATTCTCACAGAGCTTGGAAAGGTAATCATGACATTTCTTGTTGATGAATTTACACTATTATTACATACATTCATCCTGGAGGTTATTGATATCATAACAATGTCTACTATGAGCATTACTTAATCGGTCTCAAGTACTCCTGAACATTATGAACCAAGTATTTGTTGACCTCTACATAAAAAATAAATTTTTTTTTTCACTATTACCTATGCCGAAGCCCTTCCTGAAATCCTGTCCAAATCTCACTCCTCCTACAGTCCCATCCCACAAATATGCAAATGACGCCAAATCCAATCGCCCATCCTCGTGTGTGCAGGTTCTTGCTCAAATCATGCATGAGCAAGTTAATGTTATGTGAAAAAAATAGCTAGTGATATTAAGAATATTACAAAAGATGTGCTCAGAATATCAAGGAAAATTTTTAATTGTAAAAAAGTTGGTGGTAGATCAAAATGTGTTAAGAAAAGATCAAAAATAAAAAATTTTGTTATAACAATTAGTTTAGGTGTAAAAGTTTAAAAAATTGAGAAAGATAGAAAGATGCCCGTAAAGAGTTTAAGAAAGTAATATACAATGCAAAAATTTGGTTTTTAATAATTTATATAATAAATTAAATACTAAGAAGGGCAAAAAATATATGTATAAGTTAGTCAAGTAAAGATATAGAAGTAATGATTTAGTTCAAGTAAAGTATTTTAAGGATGAAGATCATAAAGTGATTTTATTAAAAGATGATATTCAACAAAGGTAGATGAGATATTTTAGAAGTTTTCAATGAAGATTGTGATAATACAATTGACTTTAGTGACTTTAGCACTTTAAATGAAAATAGAGATTTTTATTTTTATCGGCGTATTAATAAAACTGAAGTTAGAAAGGCTTTGAAGAAAATAAAGTGTGGAAAAACTGTTGGGCTTAATGATATTCCAATAAATGAGTGAAAATACTTATGAGATGAAGGAATTTCTTAGCTTATGATAATCTTCAATATTATTTTGATGATTAAAAAAGATGTCATAAGAGTGGAGGAATGTGTTGATTTTTATTTTTAAGAATAAATGTGATGCACAAGAGTATACGAATTATAGAGGAATTAATTTAGTGTGTCATACTTTAAAACTATGGGAGAGAGCATTAAACATAGGCTACGATGTGATATTAATGTTTCTCAAAATTAATTTAGATTCATGTTGGATAAGTCTACTATGGAAGCTATACATTTATTGAGAGGTTTGATGGAGAAGTATTGAGAGAATAAAGAGGATCTATATATGATATTTATTGATTTAGAAAGAGCATATAATAAAGTTCCAAGAGAAGTGTTCTGAAGTGTTTTATAGAAAAAAAAGGGTTTAATAATGCTTATATTCATGTCATTAAGGATATCTATGTAGGAGCTGTTAAGTGTGTTCAAACACAAGGTGGTTTTACCAAGTATTTTCCTATTGCAGTCGGATTACATTAAGGATCAACTTTAAGCCCATATCTTTTTGCTCTAATCATGGATGTTCTTACCTGACATTTGCAAGATGATGTACCATGGTGAATGCTTTTTGCTGATAATATTCTTCTTATTAATAAGACTAAAGAGGAAGTTGAAGATAAACTTGAACTATGAATATCAACCTTAGAATCTAAAGGTTTTTGTTTGAGTGGATCTAAAATCGAATATATAGAGTGTAATTTTAGTAGTAATAGATCTTGTGGGGTGATTATTACTTTGGGCATTAAAGTCAGTAATAAGGGTACATATTTTAGATACCTCGGGTCTATTGTTCAAAGTGATGGTGAAATATATGTGGATATTATTAGTAGAATTCAAGTTTGATGATTAAAGTGGAGGAATGCATTAGGCCTGTTATGTGATAGAAAAGTACCCCTCAAACTTAAGGGAAGATTCTATAAGATGGTGGTGAGACCTACAATGCTTTAAAGTGCATAATGTTAGCCATTAAAAGACGAGCATAAAATTAAGTTAAGTGTTGCAGAGATGAGGATGCTCAGGTGGATGAGTGACTTCACTCTTCGAGGCAGAAAGCGAAACGAGTATATATGTGTAAAAGTTGGAGTAGCTCCAATGACAGATAAGATTAGAGAGGCTTGTCTTAAATGGTTTGATCACATAAAACATTGGCCTTCTGTGACCCGATTAGGAGAGTAGATGTAGATTTGGCCTATGTTAAGAAAGGTAAAGGTAGATCTAAAAAGAGATGATTAGAAAATATTAGAAATGGTATTTTTTAGTAAATTTAATGAAAATTTTACTCTTAACATAACAGGATAGAGAAATAGGATTCATGTAGCGATCCCACGTAGTGGGAGAAAGACTTGATATTGTTATTATTGTTGTTGTTGTTGGCCCATTAAGATCTCTCCAATTAAATATTTGATTGCTTTTTTTAATCCTTTATTTAGGCTAATTGGTATAGTTTTAAAATAGGTTTTTACATTTAAAATATTTTCTCCAAGTCGCCTCCCCATTTCTTAAAAATATAAAATAATGTAAATATATAGTACAATTAATTTTCATGATAATAAGCCTTTAAAATTGATCAAGCGATAGCGGGTTCGCTTGTTTTGTGTGGGGCTGTTTGGAGAAAGTAGAAGGAATATGAAATAAGAAAACATTAATGAGTAAGTTTTAATTTAATAAGACTTGAAGTATCTTGCAAGAATTAAAAAGGCAAGTACTTCAATTCAAAATAAAGATACTGTCCTCTTTTCAGTCAGCAATTATAGCGAGTTTTTTGCAATATTTTTAAAATAAGTGTAGTGAATAGGTATAGAAAAATCTGAGTTTCTTTACCGTATAGTTAGATCTAGCATAAATTTTCTTGGCAATCCATTATCCACGTCGGTTTCCTTGTTCCATTAAACTTCCCTCCCTCCTACAAACAATGCTAATTTAAACAAACCATGAAGGTCGGAAAATGATCCCCAATTTTATCCACCGAAAGCCAAAACTTATGAAGCATTATCTTTTATGAACAAATTAGAGCAGGTAAGGTTTACTGCATGGTTTTTTTTCCCCCTATGGAGTCGGGAGCAACCCCTGGATTTTATTGATAGTAGCATTAATGTAGTCATTAATTTGTGCAAATTTAGCTCAATAACTCTTGGTAACTGAGTTATCTCTGTTTTCTTACTGTTGCAGGTCAAAAACCCATGGCCCAATGTTGATGCCCACAGTGGTGTCCTGCTGAATCATTTTGGTTTAACTGAAGCAAGGTAAATCTTTCATCCCTCTTATGATATTTGAGTTTCTGATAGCCATTATAATTAATCTGATAGGAAATAATTGAGGTTGCAAGTAACCCTAATGAGAAATACTTGAGTTCGCAAGCAAACCTAACAATAATTGATAAAAACGGCGAGAAAAACTCAAGAACTTCAGTGAAAATAATCCAAAACAGTAGATTGTATTATAGGAATCAAATCAAAGCAAGCACAAAGCAAAAATAAAATTGATCCTCAATTCTAGAGGAGGGTCGTTCTCTCCCGATCTCTAGACAATGAGTTTAGAGCCCAAGACACCAAAGAGAACTCCAAGAGAAACAATAATCAAGCATGCCCTAATCCTAACCTCTCATCCTCTTAAATACATATATTCCTAATCAAAAGCTTCCTAAAATAAACCAAATTCAAAATAGTCTCCATGTGCTTTAGCGGCCCCCTTCTCTCTCTCTCTATTTGCCGCCCTAGGGGGCCCACATACTTGCCGGCAACTTCTAAGGAGGTGGCTTAGCCCGCCTCCTATAGAAGTGAACCGGTCTAAGTTGGGCCGATTTGGTCGGTTTAGGGAGAACCGTAACACAATCTGATGCATTATCATTTCCACGAGCTTCTCAAGATGAGATTAATGGTAGCTTACACAAGTAAAAATGCTAGCAGCTTATGATTTACTTGAATTTCTTCCAGCTCCAATTATAATTTATTAAATGCAAGCAGTGCCTCATCCTGGTTTCACTGTTTCCAAATAGCCGGGTTACGCTCTGTTATGAGTATTTTCTTTTTACTGGCATATGCTTACTTGGAATATCAAGTGGATTAATTATTGAACACCATCCGGAGGCCAATCAGAATGTGACACGTCACCCCTTGCTCGGTACTGCTCGGTACAACGGCTCGGTACAACTGATTTGACATATTCTGATTGATCTTCAGATGACATTTTCCGTCCGGTCTCCGCTCAGAATAATTTATCTATCAAGTGACACCACTTGATATGAAAATTTATCTATAAGATGCGATAGTTTACTGGTAATTCACAAGCACTTGTAATTTATAAATCCTGTTCTACAACCACTACTACTAAAGTATCTGAACTACAATGCGTCCGCTGCTTCAAGACTAACTACTATACCATCAATCTCTTACAGATAATAATCAAACCTAGTCAAAATGTCGATGTTAAATAAGAATACAAGATACTAACCCACATTTGGGATTTGCTCAGGTATTTTACTGTTCTTTTCGGGGTATCGAGAAGCATTGGAATATGCTCCCAGGTTCTGGTCTTGATTTTTTTATTTAATTTTCTTATAAATTTAATGATGTGCCTTAATCTCATTTGATTCAATGTTACTCGCACAGTTGATCTGGGACCGGGCTCTTGGTTTGCCACTTGAGAGGCCAAAGAGTGTGACAATGGACTGGCTGGAGAATCACTGTAAGAAGGCTGCAGCCTAATTCGTTCTCTTAGGCTTTGTTTGGGACGGCTTTTTTATTTTATTGCATCTTTATGTTTTAAGAAACAATAAAAAAGCTGTCCCAAACGAAGCCTTAATCCATATTTTTAACTTATATGCACCGTGACAATAAATGGCAACTAAGGCATGAGAGTGAAGGTTCATCTGCACATTTGCGAATGTAAGAAACCCATCTTTTCCAGTTCATGCATGCTCGATCTGAGAGAATGGACCAATTGTATTAATTTATTTTCTTTATCAAGAATAAGCCATCATTTTTATCCATGAGTTGAGGCATTATTTGTTCTATAATGTTTAAGAGTTCTAGTTGGGATCTGATCTGATTCTGTAACTTTTATCTCTAATAAATGGCCCTTATTGCTGGGGCAACTTTTTTTGGATGGAGCTTTACTTACTGAAATATCCATTGATGAGATCTGATCTAGCTCATTTTTGTAAGATTTTTTTTTTCTTTTTTTGAGAACTCTCTAGAATGGTTGATGATAATAGAATTTAATCTTATAGGTAATTATAGAATGATTTGTTATGAAACTTAGAATGAATTGTTTAGAACAATGATAATTCTAAGGCTTCTTATCTGGTCAATTGAAATTATTTGAATTTTTAATCAATTCAGAATTAATTTGCATATGCTCCACTTTAGGTGATAGATACAACAACAACAACATCAAGTTTTTATTCTACTATGTGGGGTCGAGTACAAGAATCTTTTTTCTCCATTGTATCTTATTAAAAGCTAAATTTCATTTACATCAAGTAAAGGAATTTCATTTCTAATATTTTCTAATAATGTCTTTTTAGGTTTGCCTCTATCTTTCTTAACATAATTCAAATTTAATACATCTACTTTCCTAACCGAGTCATTGGAAAGTTGCTGTTTTATGTGACCAAACCATCCAAGGCAACTCTCTCTAATTTTATCTTCCATTAGAGCTACTCCAACCATTTCATTTATATGCTCATTTCGTCTCATGTTTCTAAGAGTAAAGTTACTCATTCACTTGAGCATCCTCATCTCTATTGCACCTAACTTAATATTATGCTTCTCTTTTAATGGCCAATGTTTTAAACCATAAAGCATTGCAGGTCTAATCACCATCTTATAGAATTTTTTTCTTAAGCTTGAGGGAATTTTTTTATCACACAACAAGCCTGATGCATTTCTCCACTTCAACAATCCAATTTGAATTCTACTAATAATATACTCATTTATTTCAGTATCACTCTGAACAATAGGCTCAAGATATCTAAAACATGTACTCATATTATTGAATTGATCACGTAAAGTCACAATCATCCATTAGGACTATTATCATTAAAATTACATTTCATATATTCAGTTTTAGATCTACTCAAATGAAAACCTTTAGATTCTAAGGTTGATATCCATAATTCAAGTTTACTTTCAACTCTTTCTAGTTTTATCAATAAGAAGAATATCATCAGCAAAAAGCATACACCTGGATACCTCTTGCAAATGTCTAGTGAGAACATCCATGAAGAAAAAAAGATATGTCCTTAAGGATGATCCTTGATGTAATCCAATGAAATAGAAAAATACTTGATCAAACAATCTTGTGTGTCTGGACACAAGTGACAACTCTTTCATACATATTCTTAATGACTTGAATATAAGTATTATTAACCCCTTCTATTTTAGAACTCTACATACACTTTTATTGAAATGTTATCATATACTTTCTCTAAATTAATAAATATCATATGTAACTCCTTATTCTCTCTATATTTCTCTATCAAACCTTTCAATAAATGTATAGCTTCCACTTTAGTTGATAGATACAATATTTTTTTATTTTTTATTTTATTTTATTTTTTTTAATTGATAGATACAATGTTATTGATATATAAATAGGTTGTCAGGGCTTCTATGTTTGAGCTTGTAACCATAGTGGTCTGGGATTACTGGCAAGTTAATGAAAAATTATTGGATGCGGAGTGTACACCGTCCGCACAAATAGTGGTACCCAGCGGTATCCAGCGGTACCGAGTGCCGGTATCTAACGCGGAATAAGACTTGTGCGGACGATTCTCCCCGTCCGCATTCCGCACCTAATAATCTCTCGAAGTTAAAAAGGCATTGTACCTTCACCGAGGCAGGGAACTTTTCACTTGTGGGAAATTGTATATCTGTCAATACTACAGATCTTCTATAGTATTCTAAACATCAACATCTCAAACTAATGATGTATATACATAATGTGGATTCTCAAGATTTAAAATCTTTGCATTTAATAGTTTAAATTTCTAATAATTTAAGGAATATTAAGAAACTTTAAAGTTGTAAACCTAATATTTATTTTTGTTAAACCTCTATGACTAACGCTTCATTTGGCATAGTTTTCTTACTATTTTATAAAACAATTTTTTAGAATAAAAGTTTATAGTTCAAAAAACTTTTTTTAACTAAATTTTTTTTTAGAAAGCAATAAGAATGTTATCCCAAACAAAGCCTAGTGACTATTTTTTAAAAGCAATTTTTTAATATAATTTTTTTAAATTATAATTTTTTATCAGACCTAACATGTCTGTAAAATAATTGCAAATTGAATGATATATATGCAAAGGTTTATTTGGTTAATGAACAAATATTAAAAAATTATTTTAGCTTGTTTTTCAGATGAACCGAATAAAAAAAATTGTTTGGTCGTGTTAGACTTGCTATTGGGTCAATATGAATATATATTTGATTTTTAAATTGATTACTTAATAATTAAAATTATTTTATTATATTTAATTAATTTATTTATTTTCATTTGTTTAAAATTGGCTCGTGTTCAGCTTGATTTAAAATAAGCTAACAAAACAATGATATTCTTCAATAATTTAGAGCACAATTCAATTTTGAATAAACTTCGTTTGGGATGGCTTTTTTACTGCTTCTTATAATATTTTCTTAGTATAAAAATTTTAAATTTTTTATTTAAAAATTATTTTAAAAAACAGTAAAAAAGTTGTCTGCATGAACACACAATAAATTTGCTCAAACTTAGCTTATTTATATTTTTATGAAATAGATATTGAAGAGGAGGAGTGCGCTTTAAAAAGAGATCTTTATAAGCAAAACAAAAGAAAAAGCTATCGATCGATGATCTCTTTCTCACTAGTTATAGGAGAAATTTGTTTCTTCGAGGTCATAAGTTTTTATCACATAGCTTATAATTTTATTTAATTACTAATAAGGTTAGTACCCTTCCAAAATCTCAGTTATTTTTCCAAAGTTAAAAATAATTTTTAGCTATTTTGTACTTTCCTAAAGCCTTTTAACTAATATAAATCTTAATCATTCAAAATTTATGATAAATAATAATAAAAGTCTTGAAAGAGAAGCTCATTAATCATTCTATACCATCAAAAGACAAAGTTATTCAGATCCTCTGTTTCTTAAAATCAGAGCTGAGCAATCTTCAATCCATCTGTTTCTCAGTTCCTTTTCTTCTTAAAATCAGAACAACGATCTTCCCCTAAACAAAACTCGCTCTTCGCAGAGTACTCATCACTTCCATGACCAAAACTCTTCTTTTTCTCCGTTTCTTCAACTCTTCCATGCTTCTTTCCTTTCATGGTCACATTCATTCCTTCGTTCTTTACCTCTTCATGTTCTCTCTCTTGTGCCTTCTTAAGCTTGCTATGATAACTCATGTGTCCTCCATAAGCTTGAGCTGTAGGAAACTTAATGCTACAAATCCTGCATTGAAATGAACGTTTCATGGTATTATTATATCCTTGATATGATGAGTTTGGTAAGAGAGAGAAAGTAGGTTGGTAGTTGATTATTTCGTGAGTAATAGGAGAGCTCATGAAAGACATTTGATAGCCTGTGGAAGGACATAAGATATCAAATGAATTCGAGGGTTGTTTGAAGGTCGAAGATAAAGGTAAATGGCTTGGGAAGCCATTGAAGAAGCTTGGGTCGTTTTCTATAGGCATTGTAGAAGAAGAAGAAGAAGGAGGAGGAGAGGAGGAGACAATTAATGTTGAAGTGACCTAGCTTTGACAAAGATTATAAGAGCTTTTCTTGTTGGCATGGAGGAGAAATATGGTGTTTTAAAGTTTTTTCTCACGTTTCTGGTGCTGTTTTCTTTGAAAATAATAATAAAATTTCATAATAAATATTTTGACATTTAGAGGAATGGATTAGCTAAAGGAGCATGCATGAGTTTACCAACTTTCGAAGATGGTTTTGGAAAGGAATAAATGAATGATTATTAATCTTGATGGCTTAACTCTGCTCGTTCATGCATATATGTAAGCTCTTTGAACTAGCCTTTACATTCTACGTATAATCAGCTAAAGCAAAGCTATCTTTTATAAAATAAGAAGTCCGTAAGTCGAAAAATTATTCTGTGTAGACTCCGAACGTTATCCCGAGTTCAATCAGAATGCATCACGTCATATTTTACTGTACCGCGGCTCAGTAACGTGACATCCAGACGTAGAGCTGTGTCCGGCATCCGCTCAAAATAGTTTCTCTCCTAAATCAAGATAATATGAGAGAGTACTAAACTGGTTACTAATTTTCACATGAATTTTTTTTTTAACATATATGCTTTAATACGAGGAAATAGGGGCTTTCCCAATGAATTTTCGTGGCATTAATTTGTAGCGGTTTTTATTTTGGTACAAAAAAGCTAGCAATGATTTCAAAACTGCAACTAGATTGATGTTGTTGCAATATGTTGCTAGGGAAGCTGTGTGCGATTAAGGCTTTTTCGTGAGAGGGCAAGTTGTATGAGGCTAGGGTTTTTTTGACGAGAGGGGAAGCTTTGTGCACAACAGTGAGATTATGAATTCAAGAGTAGAAGGGAGCATAAAATGAAGATCATTGTGGATAAGGGTAGGGGTGTCAATTTCGGGTCACGGGTCGGGTTCGTGCATGTCGAACCAGGCTGAAACTGACCCGACACTATTCGGGTCAACCCGAACCCAACCCGTTTTTAAAAATGGGTCGTTTTTCCGAATCTGAACCCGACCTGCTTTGGGTCCGGATCAACCCGACACAACCCGAATAACCCGTTTTCAACAAAAAAAAAATACTAATTTTCGGGTAAAAAAACAGGTCAATCTCCTCTTTTCGGGTCAAAAATGGGTCAATCTCGGGTTGCCGGTCAAAATCGGATTTTCGGGTAAAAAACTGGTCACTTTTGGGTCAAACCCGACCCGATTTTTGAAATGAGTAGAAATGTTGAACCCGATCCCTTTCGGGTTCGGGTTGACCCTAACCCGAAATTTTTGGGTCGGGTTCCATTCGAGTTGGATTTTCGGGTCGTGTCAAATATTGACACCCCTAGATAAGGGTGGAACCAAGAAAAATTTAGGGTTGGCAATTGCCCACCCTGAAATCTTTTTTTTTTTTTTTCAT